GTTTTTTTTCCTCTTCAACTTGTTATCAGTAGTTCTGAATGTTGGATATTTTTTTCCTATGAAGCCAAAAGGTACCTATGTATATGACAAGGGGAAGAGGGGGGACAGAAATCAGACACTGGCAGTTTTTCTATTTTCATATGCATATGAATTTTTAATATAAATCTAGGAATGTAAAGCATTTACAGAAGTCAAAGTGTTTCAGTGAAAAAGTTTCAGCAGTTAAATTTGAAAGCAATTATAAATAAACCTGTTAAATTTTTCTAGAGACAAAAGACTAAAATGAGCAAAAACAAAAACGTATACACTACTAAAACTTAAAAAAAAAAAAGAACCAATCAATTTCACAAGTAGGTAAAGGAGGAACAAGCTGAGGCTTACCTGACAACCTTCTGGGGAATGAAATCCTCTAGGGGTGTCTCAGTGTAGGAGTCACTGACGTGAAATATACTGACTTTTCCTAACTTCCCAAAGGGGAAGGAGATAGTCAGCCCCTCATTGGGTATCACCTTCACCACTCGGCCCATGGCCACATCTCCTGGCTCAAGCTTGTAAGGACCTGGTGGGAAAAGGAAATGATAAGCTGGAAGTCTGGCTAGCACAGCCTGGAGAAGGTATTGGCCACCCAGACTTGGGGTATCCAGGTTGAGTAGGCCAGAACCATATGAGGACTCAGTTCATCAATACCCTATAGCCCAAACCCCAGAGCCCTATGGTATACAGTCCTTTCTAAGGGACCTGAGAAAACTAAATACAATAAACTCAGAGAGTGGTGGAGTCACACAGGACAGACAGCAAAGTCCAGGAAGAAAAAAAAAAAAACACTTCCAAAATGCTGTACACTGGCTTTGCAACACTAAAGATCCCTTCCAGCACTTCTTGCAGCCCCTTCCTCCCTTTCCCTGTCCAGGTACCACTTCATTTCATACCTATGAGTGAGAGACACAAGAAAGCCTTGCAGGAATCTGGGCCAACCACAGTGGCCCTCAAGGCCTGCCCAATCTGGAACTTCTTATCTGGGTGCTTCAGAACCTGAAAGAATTAAGAAGAAATTCCTCTGATGCACCCATAAAGGTCTGTCACTTATCCGAAAACATCTCAAGTCTCTATAGCAAGTACCTCCCAAACCAAATCTTAAATAAACACATGGTTCCTTGTACTCAACAGGAATGCATACAATTGAGCTTACTGAACCTGTGTCTTCTCTCCAAGGATTACATGGAAACTGACCTTGAAGCTGAGAGAAGAGAGCAATAAGGGAATTCTCCCTCGGATGTCTGGTGCAATGTCCACTTCAAGCCATTTCTTCACTACATTGTACTGGGGAAAAAAACAGGAGAAATAAGATAAGGCAGCTAGCTATAAGTATCTGTTTTACACCCCACCACTAAAATGTATTCTCCTAAAACCACAAGGATGAAAAGGCCTGAATACCACACACTTTCCCAAGGGACAGGAATCCACCCCTCTCCCTGCCTACCCCTCTCCATCTCATAGACTTCACCCAGAGTCTAGCCTGGCTGGCCTGAGAGAACATAAGTCCTTCCTGATGTCTCAGCTGAAGAAGAAAGAATGCTCAAAATGTCCTCATGCATCAGGTCCAATCCCACCAACTTCTCTGCCCTCTTCTATGTTCTGCTGTGTCCACTGACTGCTGACCATCTCCAGGGACCACCATTTTATTTCTAAATCAATTTAGTTTTGTATTCCTCACTACCATGTCCTGCCCTAAGTGGATCCCGACTTTCAAGCTGAATAAAAAAATAAATTTACCAAAAGGCCACTGTGCAAATGACATCATAGCGCTAAATAAGTGGCAAGTCCAGTCCAGCTTCCACTGACACACTCCAACTTGTATGAATCGTACTACTCTAAGCTCTTCCTTCTGTAACACCTGTTCCACTTGGGATTAGAACATAGAGCCTGATACTGATCACACTGCTTTGCCCTACAGCTGAGCTTTATGAAAGGAAAGTACTTCGCTTACAAGGAACCCTATGATCTCTACTTTCTTCATTTGTACAAATAACAAACAGTGAACTGTAGTTGCTTGATGCTTTGAAAGCTATAATTTAGCTCTCTTAACTAGTTTTTCTAACTTTAAACATGTTCCAATTTTATTTCTATTTTTGGTTGCTAAAATCAAAACAAGGGCCAGGTATGATGGCATACCCCTTTAAATCCACTCCACTTGGGAAGCAGAGGCAGGCAGATCTTTCTGAGTTTGAGGCCAGTCTGGCATACATAGCAAGTTCCAGGCCAGCAGGGGCTACAGTGAGACCCTATCTCAAACAAAACAAAACAAAACAAAAAAACCAGAAACAAACCTATAAACACACAGTCCTAGTGTTTACCCAAATGAATCAACAGCTGTTTGGCAATATTAGGTATGTAACAGGACTGTCGTACTAATCAATATACTTACCAGAAGTCTAATTAAAGAATTGACTTTCATGAGAAAATAATCAGAAACACTCAGACCTTCTAAGTCTTATTAAAAACTGTACTTATGGGCTGGAGAGATGGCTCAGTGGTTAAGAACACTGGCTGTTCTTGCAGAAGATCCAGGTTTGAATCCCAGCACCCACATGGCAGCTAACAATTGTCTGTAACTCCAGTCCCAGGGGATCTGACAGCCTCGTCTGACCTCCGCGGGCATTGTATGACACAGGTGCACTGACCTACATGCAGGCAACACATGCGTACACACAAAATGAAAAAACAAAACAAAACTGTACTTACTAATCTCAGCATTTGGGAGGCAGAGGCAAGTGGATCTCTATAAATTCAAGGCCAGCCTGGTCTACAAAGCACGTTCCAGGCCAGCTGGGGTTACAGGGAGACCCTGTGTCAAAAAGACCAAAAACAAAACAAAAAACAAAACTCTATTTAATAAACAGAAAATAAAAATGAACAAATTATTTTTTTCCTGATTAATAAATGAAGTTATGTGGCATTTTCCCCAAGTACACAACTCCTTTATCACATGACTTTAAAGAATGTAAAAAGACATACAAGGCCCAAGGTTTAATCCTTTGTACCCAAAACAAGTAAACAAAGAGTATTACACAAAAATCCTCCTGGGTAATTTCAGTTTAAGTTATGAGAATAAATTATTTAATAGTCAGTAGCACTTTGACAGGAAAAAAAAAAAAGGATATTTAAGGAGAGCACTGCCCACTGAGTTGAACAAAGCGTTCAAAGCCTTTTAGTGGGGGGCTGGAGAGATGGCTCAGCGGTTAAGAACACTGGCTGTTCTTGCAGAAGACCTGGGTTTGAATCCCAGCACCCACACTGGGAGCTAACAACTGTCCATAACTCTAGTTCTAGGGGATCCGATGACCTCTTCTGTCCTCCGTGGGCACTGCATGATACAGTTGCACTTACCTACATGCAGGCAATACATGCATACACATAAAATAAAATAAAAATAAATAGGCCGGGCTTGGTGGTGCATACCTTTAATCCCAGCACTCGGGAGGCAGAGGCAGGCAGATCTCTGTGAGTTCAAGGCCAGCCTTGTCTACATAGTGAGTTCCAGGACAGCTGGGGCTACAGGGAGAACCTGTCTCAAAAAGACCAAAAAAAAATTAAATTAAAAAAAAAAAAATTAAATAAATAAAATATTTTTTTAAAAGCCTTGTAGTGAACTAAGTACTCACCCCTGCTTCTTTAATTTTTATGATCGTTCTGATCATTCTAAGCAGAAAACTGAATACATAGTGATTTGAGTTCTGCTCAAATTTTCTAGATTGATACCTAGCAAATTAACTAATTCTGTTAAAAGGCAGCTATCAAGACACACATCATCACAAGATATACTGAACTTTTAAAACCAATTAAGAGGAGAGAACACCGGACTTTCTTAAGGGATCTGGAGAGGGCTGGAGAGCTGAAGGTAGAAGGTTTTAGAAAGTAAGACCTTTCAGCATTGTGATGTGTCTTTCTCTAGCATACAGAGAGCATGTTAAAAGGAAACCTCCAAATGGCTGTCAATCAGACTTAATCTCAAAATTGAGCCAGCCTCTAGGACAGCTCATCCTGCCTGGCCAAAGCCATACGTGTGTGGTGTGGTCCAGCCTGTAGCAGCTCCATGCTGAAGTCAAAGCCTGCCTTGTATGCCATATCCTGGAGCAGCATGCCCGTTGGTTCTGGAGAGCGTCAGCTGTCACGCTGCTCACCGTGTCTTACATTTGCTGCTGGATGTCCAGTGTTTCAAATGGTGCTTGAATCTGTCCATCAAAGCAGAGAATGTCTCTGCTACACTAGTGTCACCTCCATCTACTTAACCACATCGGCCATCAACTTGGTTACTTTGACTATCGTCACTAAGTTTGGAGTTTGGCAGCTACCACACTGACTTCCTCGCTCATTCTCAAGAAATTCACTGCTTGGTTCTTCTGGAATTTTCCATGTGTATCCTGAAACTTCCAGGTTGCCTTTCTGATGGGCTTTTTAATTTTGGCTTTTTTTTCCTGTATTAAATTTTTTTTTTTTTCGGTCTTTTTGAGACAGGGTCTCCCTGTAGGCCCAGCTGTCCTGGAACTCACTATGTAGACCAGGCTGTCCTTGAACTTACAGAGATCCGCCTGCCTCTGCCTCCCAAGTGCTGGGATTAAAGGCGTGCGCCACCACGCCTGGCTCTGTATTAAATTTTTGACACTCCTACTCAGTTCAAAATTTAAGTTGAACAATTATTTTTCCAAGGCTGAAGAGAAAGCTCCTTGGGGTCAGTGGCCAGGGCGGAGACATGTATAGCAGGGAGACCAGCAGATGTAGGTCTGTTCCCTTGCCATCACTCCTTTGTTTTGGTCCACTTTGGAAATAGGTGTTAAGGGGTCATCACCCACAGCTGAGCACTGTAGCAAGCACTAACTCAAATGCTCAGTGCCAAGGGACTGTCTCCAAATTTACTTCCTTACCCCCGAAGGAAGGACAACCTTGCATTGCAGTGCAGCAACTACTCACTCTCTTTAAGAAGCAAGTCACAGTCTGTCCAACATGGTACTGCTTAATCTTCTCAACAGGGCTCTCAGAACAAGTGTTCAGAGCACTGTGGTCATCCTTCTCCAGCTCACTGTTTGCAGAAAGACAAAGCAAAGTCAAACTCCAGATGGATTCTAACCTGAAACTACCTTCCCAAAATGGCTATGGAGAATTTGTGTAGGACTCCTCTATTCTTACCTACTCCCCAAGGTCAGTCTCTCTCTGTAAAGGGGAATCTTTACAATACTCAACCCAGGGCTAATCTTTTATGTATGAACCAGCTGTGAAATAGTTCCTGATAGTGTTTTATAAGTATAGTAAATAAAACTATTTTGATTCTTTCAGAGTATTTTAGCCATTGCTATGCAGAACTGCCAGTGCTCCACCACTGAGCCACCTTTCCAGCCATCCAAGAATTTCTTACAAGGTGCCACTCTGCAGACTTCATCAGCTCAACCAAAATTCCACATCAGCCTTTTTTCACCAAGCAGTGAAGGTGCACATGCTAAAGGAACAGGCATCTTGGCTACAGGTTTATTTCAGGAATTACTGAGTTCTAGAAAAGTGGACTGGAAGCAGAAACATTTCTTTCTGTTAGATGCTGACTAGCAGGACTGCAATCAGACTTTCCTCTCTCTCATTTTCTGAGACAAGGTGTTACTCTGTAGCCTAGGCTGGCCTTGAACTTGTGACAATCCTCCTCTTTCAGCCTCCCAATTGCTAAGATTTCAAGCATGAGCCACTATGCCTACTTTGTATTAATCTTCATATTTCTAACTTATCTTTAGCAGGTAAAACCCCCCAAAACAGAAAAATAACCTGGGGCTCCCAGCCTGAGCATGATCAAACAAAAACCATGTAGTCAAGAATATTATATGTTTTATATATATATTATATATATAATACACATGTATCATATAAAAAGACTATCTACTCTATCAGTGTGGCCTACTCCTTGCTGATGAGAAGCTGAGCTGGAATTTTGGGTCATGCTCTGGTGTAGACTACAGACAGAGTCTCAGGAGGAGGGAAAGGCAGAGTTAGTAGTTACAGGGAGTAGACCCAGTATGTCTGGGATAATTTTTTTCCTCCCGAGTAGAAAAGAAATGTGGTAGCTTGGACAGAGAGAGGTAAAAGAAGTCCAAACACTGGCAGAATCAAGAGGAGAACTCAGCACCCTGGTTTCAAAGCCCAGTGTTTTTCATGAGACCATGCTGCCAGGGGAACCCTTACTTTGGCCGAACACTCAGCTCCAGGATGGTCTGAACAAACCGGGGGTGACTTACTGGGAGAAACCTAGAGAAAGAAAATCAAATTACTTATTCACTGTAACAGAAATCAGGATCTCAGGATCTCTTTCTACTCTACTCCAAACCAAGCTGACACCACCACCTTTTACCCTCACAACACCACTGATAGGAGACGTGTCGGCTGATCAGACCTGAAAAGAGTCACAAATTATATTTCCCAATTTTTTTCATTCTAGAGGTTTAGAAAGGATAAATACTTACTCAAGATCCAGTAAGTTCTTGAAATCAATATGTAAACTATAGGCCAGATTTTGAACTCTTTCTTATGTTGTTATAGCAAGAAATTCTACAATAACACATGCTGTAGTGAGATTTAGAGAAAATGAGGAGGCACTGAGATGGCTCCATGGGTAGAGAAGCCTGTGCACGGGCCTGATCACCTGAGTTCAATCTGCAGTCTCATAAGGTGACAGGAAAGTTGTCCTCCAATCTCTACACATGTATCATGGCATATGCATGCCTGCATATACACACACAAAGTTAAGTAAGGGGCTGGAGAGATAGCTCAGCAGTTAAGAACACTGACTGCTCTTGCAGAGGACCCGGGTTCGATTCCCAGCACCCACATGGTGGCTACAAACCGTCCTTAACTCCAGTTCCAGGGGAATCCGAAGCCCTCTTCTGACCTCCGCAGCATTGCACAATATGGGTGCACTCATATACATGCAGGCAATACACACAAAATAAAAAAATAAATAAATTAATTAATTTAAAAAAATAAGTAAAAATAAAATCTTTAAAAAAAGTTAAGTAAATGAGTATAATTCAAAGCCAGGTCTGACTTAATAGCAGTCCTTTAATACACTATATTTTTAATAAAGAACATGCTAAAGGAGTCTTACTGATTGCCTTTTTGTTAGCTAAAGAAAATATGATTTATCATGCAACTCTTTAATACCTGCCTATATTCTGATTCTTCCCACAATTACAGCACTCTCCCCTCAAAGCCAGCCCTTCCCCTCCAAACTTCCATACTTGGATGTCTTCACATCTCGCCCACCAATCACTCGGGCAGTGACTGTCTTCCCAACTTTCAGTGTGGCAGTAGGAGAGATGCCCAGTGGAACATCATCTAGAATTCGGGAGGCATGGATACAACCAATGATGCCATCTTCCAGAGTCACAACGACATGGGTGGCCTTCACAGACTTGATGGTCCCAGTGACTTTGTCCCCAATAGCCAGGGTGTGCTTCTTTTTGGACCCCACAGCCAAAGCTGGATCCTCTTCCTCCTCATTGTCATCAACAGTCTCAGAATCCCTCCGAGCATGTCTCCTAGTCCTCTTAGCAGCTGAGCCCTCCACAGCCAAAAGAAGTCCAGTCACTCCTGGTTCTGTGGTCTTGAGGGTAAGATAAACACCCTGTCCCACATACAGCTTCTCAGAGTCAAAGCGGAAGGTATCGTTGAGGTGAGAGGTCAGGGAAAAAGCTACCAGGTGACCAGTCTCCACCAACGAGGCCACAGCAAAGGACTTCTCCAGGTGTTGCACGATGGCCTGGTGCTCACTACCTTTCTTCAGCTGGAAAAGAGGGAAAAAGTCATACTCACTCTCTTTACACAGTATGGTCACTTGTTCGTGACCCCACTGGACAGGGTGTGAAGAAGTCAATACCCAGAGGACTAAGCTGTAAGCAACTAGCCTTGCCTCTCAGACCTAGCTTTCCTTACATTAACACTTAGTATATGGCATCCCATCAGAATCACCTTGCCTTGGTTTCTGGTTTTTCTGGCCTAGAACTTATGATGCGCTGGCCTCAGCCTCCTGAGTACTGGGATGATAGGAGTATGCCACCATGCCTGGCACTCATTTGTTCTGAACTCAAATGCCTATGTACTATCCTAGAATGAGGATATTTGAAATTCTGGAAGCTATTTTGGTGATTCGGATACACAGGCATTCTCTAGTGCCTTAACACAGGTCCTGTCTCAGACACCCAGCACTCCTTCCATCATTTAGCCAGGAGTCTTTAATGAGAGCTCACTGTTTGCAAGGTATCCATCTCAGTTTCACTCAAAATCTACGTTGTGCTTAAGCTCTTCTGTGCCTGAACCTCACTTAGATGATAAGATGGTCTAGGGCCCTGTTAGAAAACAGAAGGATGATGCTGGGCATGGTAGCACATATTTATACAATTCCAGCACTCAGGAGGCCAAGGTAAAAGGATCACTGTGAATTCAAGCTCATTTACTGATTTCTAGACCAGCAGGGCTACAAAGCAAAATATCTCAAAAACCAAATACAGGATACTGAGATGGCTCAATGGTTAACAGCACTGACTGCTCTTGCAGAGGACCTGGGTTCAATTCCCAGCATACACAAGTTGGCTAATTGTTTGAAGTCCAGTTCCAGAGGATCCAATGCCCTCTTCTGGCCTCTGTGGGCACTGTATACCCATGGTGCACTTATATCCATGTAGGAAAAACACTCATACACATAAAAATAAAAATAAATTTTTAAAAACAAAAACAGCCAGCAACAAAAAAATTGCTTGGATAATAATCAAATAAAGGTTGAGCACACACACACACACACACACACACACACACATACACATACAGTAATTCAAAATTCTAAAACCTGAAATGCTCCAAAAGCCACGTTTTTTGAGTTCTTAATATATCAGCTTTCAGAAGTTTTACAATCTAAGCATTTCAGATTTTTAAAACTAAGAATACTCAACCAGGGGCTGGAGAGATGTCTCAGCAGTTAAGAGCACTGGCTGTTCTTCCAGAGGACCTGGGTTCAATTCCCAGCACCCACATGGCAGCTATGAACCGTTCTTAACTACAGTTCCAGGGGAAAATCTGAAGCCCTCTTTTGACCTCTGTGGCATTGCATGACACGGGTGCACTCGCTTACATGCAGGCAATACACTCGTACACATAAAAAAATAATAATAAAAACCCAAAAAAAAAAAAAAAAGAATACTCAACCAATGAGATCTATGCAAATTTCCAAAATTCAAGAGTCTGAAATTGCTGGGCTTAGTGGTGCACACCTATAATCCTAGCACTCAGGAGGCCTAGGCATAAAGACTTAAACTACTAGCCTATACTACTGAGTGAGACTCTGTTTCAAAAAACAAAAACGTGGTGGCACATGCTTATAGTCCCAGTACTTGGGAGGAAGAGGCAGGCAGATCTCTGTGAGTTCAAGGCCAGCCTGGTCTACATAGTGAGTTCCAGAACAGCTGGGGCTACAGGGAGACCCTGCTTCAAAAAGACAAAAAAAAAAAAAAAAAAAAAAAAAACAAAAAAAAAACAAATACAAAACTAAAGCCAAAACTTGGAATATTTGAATGGAATATTTGGAATATTTCTGGTCCCCAAGCATTTCATTGAGAATAAATAATATTCAACCTGCACATTCTTCCCCAGAGAAAATTTCTACTGATTTTGAGATTTCCTTAAACCTATTCTTTTAAATATTTATTTTCATTTTATGTGTATGAGCATATTGCCTGCATGTATATAAGTGTACCCATGTCACGCAATGCCCGTGGATGTCAGAAGAGGGCGCTGGATCCTGGGAACTGGAGTTATGAACTATTGTTAGATGCCATCATGTCAGTGTTGGGAACCAAACCCAGGTCCTCTTGCAAGAGCACCCAATGCTCTTAACTGCTAGCCCATCTGTGCAGCCCTTCCTTTTCTTTTTTTTTTTTTGATCTTTTTGAGACAGGGTCTGCCTGTAGCCCCAGCTGAATGGAACTCACTATGCAGACCAGGCTGACCTTGAACTCACAGAGATCCACCTGCCTCTGCCTTCCAAGTGCTGGGATTAAAGGCATGCGCCACCACACCTGGCTCTTAAACTTTTTTTTTTTTTTTTTTTTTTTTGTCTTTTTGAGACAGGGTCTCTCTGTAGCCCCAGCTGTCCTGGAACTCACTATGTAGACCAGGCTGGCCTTGAACCCAAAGAGATCTGCCTGCCTCTGCCTCCTAAGTGCTGGGACTACAGGAGTGCGCCACCACGCCCGGCTTAAACTTATTCTTATACCACACAGAAGTACAGAAAGAAGGGTGTGGACCTGCCGCCCAAACATCAGAAATACCAAAGATCTGTTTTGTTTGGTTCTGATGATTCTTTTAAAGTTAAATTTCAACATTTATTTCAAATAAAATCTAAATAGTGAGACCCTGTCTCAAAAAACAAAACAACCCATAACAACAAAGACTTAGCCAGGAAAGGTGGCACACACTTAGGATCCTAGTACTTGGGATGCTGAAGCACTTGGGAGGATTTAAGTTTGAAGCCAGCCTGTATCAAAAAACCAAAGGGGTGGGGCAAGGGGCAGTGACCAATGTAGACCTAGACAGTCCTTTGATAACAATTAGATGGAGCCAAACAGTCTGTGCCGTGTGTGTGTGGCAAGCACACATTTGCCAGTCTGTCAGGGTCCTAGCCATAGCCCTCCCTAACCTGTATGGCCTACTTATTCATGTGTTACTTGATTGGCAATAAAGACAGTGGACCATAAAATTTATCAACTGAACCAGCATGAAAATCAGCCCTATTAACCAAACAAGGAAAAGAGGTAAAAACTGGAACTATCCTAGAGAGACACACAGTCATTCTAACTACAGGCACCTGAGCTATGAGTACAGTATGGAAGAGGTGATGTGAAAACAGAGATGGAAACCACAAGAAGGCTTACCTTTCTAGTTTTCCTATTCACCAAGTCCTGGCGAAGGGAGACATGTACCTCTAACTTCAACATATCCACATTTAGGATCACAACCTTCCTCTTCTGCCCACATTCCACCTCCTGGCCTGCAGAGCACAACCAGACACAGCATGATCAGCCTTGTAGAACAGGGGAAGGGAAAGTAGCCTTTCCTAGGCCCTTTAGGCCAAAAAAGCAAAGATGACATATCCTTGCATCTATATGGGCCACAGGGAAAGCAAGGTGATCTGCCTCATGTAGCCAGAGTTGGGGTGGACTTTAATTTAAACAAGTTGATAAGTTAAAAAACAAAACAAAATTTACCCAATTACAGTAAAGGTTCTGTCTGTTTCTTTTCCTAAAGCTATGATAAAAATACTCTGCCCAAAAGCAACTTAAGGGAGAAAGGGTTTATTCTGGCTCACAGTCTGAGATACAGTCTGTCATGGTGGGGAAGTCAAGTCAGCATAAGCTTGAAGCAGCTGGTTAAACCATAACCAGTCAAGAAGAAGAAAGCAATGGATGTAAGCTGCTAGCTACTCAGTTATCTTTCTCCATGTACACAGTCCAGGATTCCACTCTGGATCTTCCCATTTCAATTAACACAATCAAGATTAACCGCCACCCCCAAGTCCAGAGACCTTCCCAAGTGATTCTAGATTCTGTCAGGGTGACAATACTAATCAATACAACATCCACATCTAAACATTTATCTTGCTGTTGATAGTCTTGATCTACAGTCACATAAGACAGGTTTGCCGAAAGCTTCAATGAAATCAACTCATTTATCCATATACTTGGAAATTCAGTAGTCAGCAGCAGAAGCAATGAGCAGGGGTCACCCCAGGATAAGCAAGACAAAAAGCCTCACCTGCCTGATGGTATCTGCTGGCTCTCACCATCAGGTCCGGCACTGGGCCCCCACTGAACACCAGAGAACCATCTTCCAATACCTCCTGCACCATGAGGTCAAGAACCATTCCTGGGGTCATCTCAGCAAGCGTCTGGAACAAAACTGAGTCTGCAAAAGGCCCCATAAAGCAGATTAGTGAGATGAAAGACACTCTCAGCATTCCTTCCTCCGGAAGTGTTACAGCACCACAGAGCACAGAGGAACACTCCAGTCCCAGAAGAATGAAGGTGCTTCTAGCAAAATTGTCCAGTGTCAGTGTTGGAACAGTAAGATGGCTCAGTGGGCAACTGTTGTTAAGTCTGCGCTTGATCTCTGGGACCCATATGGTAGAAGGAGAGAAATGATTCCCACAAGTTGTCCTCTGACCTTCACGCACATGTCATGGCATACCTACAAACACACACACACACACACACACTCGCACGCATGTGAGGGGGAGCACACAGGCTGGCAAATTCACAATACAAACCCAATGACACAGAATGAAGAGAAATTCTGATTCTGGACTGTGGTGATGGGGTGTTTGGGAGGCTGCTTACTTATGATGATTTCTTTTAAAAACAGGATCTCATGTACCCCAGGCTGGCCTCCTGGCTATGTAGCAGAGGATGATCTTGAATTTCTGATTTTCCTGCCTGTACCTCCAGAGTGCTGGGACTACAAGTGGTGCATGAGTTTGAACCTGTGGTCTCATGCATGCTAAGGCAAGCATTCTAATGACTAAGCTACATTTCCTGCTTGCCTTTTTTATTTGTTTTTTTTTTTTAGGCAGGGTTTTGTGGCCCAGGCTGGCCTTGAACTTCCTATGTAACTATGAATAACCTTGAACCCTAAATCTTCCTGCCTCTACCTCCCTCCCAAGTTTTGGGATTATAGGCGTGCACCAGCATACCTGGTTATGCAGTGCCAGGGATTTCCATTCCAAGGTTTTGTGCATGTTAGGTAAGCCTTCTAAGAATTAAGTTACATCCCCAGCTAGACCTTCATCTTAATCTGGGTAGTAAATGGGTATTGACTTCATAAACATTTAATGATTACTTTATGTAACTTCCACTATTAAAAAAAAAACAAAAAAAACCTTGGATGGGGAATTTAGATCATAGGTAGAGCATTGGCCTGATCCTGGGTAGGTTCAATACCCAGTACCACAAAAAGAAAAAGAAAAAGGTACCAAGAAAATGAAGAGATTAGGCCAGGCATGGTAGCACATACCTTTAATCCAAGCACTTGGGAGCCAGAGACAGGCAGATTTCTGTGAGCTCAAGGGCGGCTTGCTCTACATACTGAGTTTCAGACCAGCCAGGGCTGCACAGACCATCTCAAAAAAAAAAGAAAAAAGAAAAAAAAAAAAGCTTGCCAAGCTAGTGCCATAATAGGTATAATTACAGCAAACACACTCCCACCCAGACCCTCATCCTCTGCTTCCTCCCCCAACCAAACAGGTCCCCACCTTGGTTGCTCATGAGACTGCGCACACCCTGCAGCTCCTCCAGGCACTGGCTCAGGAGGAGGAGACTGGTGCTGGCTGATTCCCCCAGACTACAGTCTGACAGCCGCAGCGACAACAGCATCCGTTGCTTCTCCTCATCCACATTGGTCACCTTTGCAACTACCGTCTGACCCTCAACAAAGTGGTCACTTGGAGTGGTCACAAACTTGTCACTCATGATCTGAAGAATGGGTAGAATTAGAAAAAGGAAAATAAATGTCCATTAAAACAGTACATTTAATATGCCCAAAAGTGGGGTGAGAGGTTAAGGACAAAGGGGGCCTGGGCAGCTTCCCTGAGCACAGCTCTATTCCTTTCTATGTATGAGAGGAGACCCAGGCTGCCAACCCTAGCTTTTAGAAAAGATACCTAGTTTAAAAGACCCACTACTGACGCCAAAGGAACAGAGCACTTTTCTGTCGTAAAGCCCAATGTCAACCCTCCGTCTCTCAATCTGCATGTTTCTGGGGTCCTTTGCTACATTCTCACTTAACTTTTCTGGCAGGGGATGCAATGAGACCTTCCTTTAGAAAACATCATGAAGCCAGATCAATGTACAAGAAATATTCATAAACCATCTGTGGCAAGAATTAGCCCTGTGTTGTTTGCTGTGCTGTCATGCTTTGGTCTCTGTCCCTCTAGGACTTGGTTTATTCAGTAGGCACAAGAAAGCTCCACCTAAGGAACTGCCAGGATATTTTCCCATCTGAAAAGCTTGTAGTTCAAGGATACAGAGGAAAGAAAAACAACTTCAAGGATATTCTGGTGTCTTCACACCTTGAAAACCAGAGGGCTCCAAAACCCATACTGGGCTACTCAGGAAAATTAAGTCTGAGTGTGCTATAAGCACAAGTTCAGTCCTCTTTACAATGAAAACTAAAGTCATCGAAGCCAGCACTACTGCTGTGTGACAGAATCAGAGGCCCTACTCTTGAGCTACACGGCAGAGAGGATGCTCACTGCCTGCTGTCAGCTGCACTCACTTTGCCAGAGGCCTTCATGGCATGCATACCTTATATAGCTCCCCTTGACCTTCAAAGAACTGAAGTCTGTTCCTTCTTACCCTAACTGGTCTATGAGCCTGGGATTTCTCTCCTCAAAGGCCCTTGTGCATGGAGCTGAACTTACAGTTTTGGGGGCCAGTCCACTAAGACCTGAGGGGAACTGGACAAATACACCATAGTCTTTGACGCTCTTCACAAAACCAATGAGCAGCATTCCAGGCTGGATTTCTGAGAAGCTCTTGGGGTCCTGGCCACCTTCTACTGTGGAGACCAAAGCTGGCTTCCTACAAAGAAGCTAGTGGAGCTTTATTAAGGAACACTCTAGAAATGTCCATTGCTGGGACTGAAGAGATGACTCAATGGCTAAGAACACTTGCAGCTCTTGCAGAGGACCCAGATATGATTCCCAGCAGCTATATGGTGACCTGGTTCTTCTGGCTTTTGTGGGTACCAAGCACATACATGGTGTAAACAAAACATTCATATGTGTAAAATAAATTTTTATTCTATTTTCTATTCTATTCTATTCTATTCTATTCTATTCTATTCTATTCTATTCTATTCTATTCTATTCTGTGTATGAGTATATTGCCTGCAGGTTCTAAGTGCACCCATATTATGCAATGCCCATCACTAATACCAAAACTAAGTAGAGACACAACCAAAGAAGAAAACTATAGACCATATTCTTAATGAACATTGATGCAAAAATTCTCAACAAAATACTTGCAAACCACATACAGAAGTACATCAAAAAGATCATTCACCACAATCAAGTAGGCTTTATTCCAGAGATGCAGGAATGGTTCAATATACACAAGTCAATAAACATGATCAATCATATAAATGAACTCAAAGACGAAAACCACAGAAAGGGTGTTGGAGTCCCTGGAAATGAAGTCATGGGCAGTTATTAGCTGCCATGTAGGTGCTGTGAACTGAATCTGGGTCCTCTACAAGAGCAGCCAGTGCTCTGAACTGCTGAGCCATCTCTCCAGGCCCCTATAAATATTTTAACTACTAATGTATTACAATAATCTATACAGGTACAGAACAGCAACAGGAGCACCAGCTAGAGTTTAGGAGAAGCTAAGTTAGGTTCTTAAGCATCACGCAACTAGTGGGGCTGTCTTCCAGTGACTACTGAGGCAGTAAGGCTGGAAAATTACTGCTTTACTCCTTTCCTAATTAATCCCTGTCCAGATTATAGAACGGCTGCTAAAAGGATACAGCTCAGGCCCACAGTCTGGCAGCTGGGTTAGTCAGTACAGTCCTCCACTGACCCCATCTTGTAAACATGCATGAGCCCTATTTTACCTCCCTTGCATGCCACTCTAAGGAGATTTTATTTTTATGTTTGTTGAGAAGAGTTAGTGTTCTCCAAAATACCCACAAGCACCCGAGGAATTCTAGCTCCATGTCCCCAACAGGAAGGAGGGATAAAAAGAAAGGGAAAGGGCAGTAGCTACTTCAGTAATGGATCCAGCCCAAGAGGCAAACACCGAACATCTAAGGCAGCCGAATGTGACCCTGGATCTACCACTGGGCCTTAATCAGACACAGCTCCTCCCTAATCCCTGGACGCCACTCTCCACAGGACCTTTCTGCTAACTGCCTTGACCACTTGCATCTTCTGACAGCACATCTTGAGTCTGCTCCTGCTTTCCAGAACAGGCTTGAAAATTGGCTTGTTCTTGGAAGAATTTTTAAACTCAAATAGTTGATTTTTCCCCCTCCTAGGCCTGGTCCAAGATTTCCCACCCAAGGGTCTATGGCCTCTACCATCCACCGACACTAGTCAAGGATACAACATGTTTCTCACTCCGGCTCAGACACAGAACTCGGTGAAGGGTATCACCTGCTTGGAGCCAGTGATGCAACAGTGGGCCATTGGCGACGTGGTCTGACAAATGAGGTATCGGGAGGAAAGCAGGGATGTTGTGGGGTAGGATGGCCACCTCTAGCCCATCTTTAGTCTTCTCTAAAACCTTCACATCCACCAACTGCTCAGAAAAAGAAAGAAAAAAACTGTCTTAAGCAAAGAATAACCTAGTCTTGACCACGCAGATCTCAGAAGTACCAAATCACAGTACTGGAGATCACTCACAGGCTAACAGCAGAGGTACTTCCCACTAGACAGCACACCTCCAGCCACACCCCACACCAGATCTAAACTAGGGGCTCTTATCATACCCCTTCTCAATTCCTCCACTGTTCTGGAAGAAAGAGGGAATTGCAGGCTAGCTTTAGCAACCAAAGAGGAAATCAGCAAAGCCACATCAACTCAACTTTTCTCTTGTGGCAGTTTCCATTTGCCGTGGTACAAGAAGCCCCAGAATCTTACAGAGCCACCTCTATCTTTTCCCTCCACAGGCAACACCATTTATCTAGTATTTATTCTGTCAGTGCAAGGCATAATAATTTGTCTAGGAAGTCCAGGTACCTGCCCAATGTTTACAGCTCTTCCTTTCTTCTGTCCATTACTGGCACTCTCATTCTTTGTCTCTGGATCACTCAACAGCTTGAAGGATAGGAGCATCCTCTCTTTGGAAGGCTCACAGTTCAGCACTGCCACCTTCACTACCTGGTAAGAAACCACACGTGTTAGGCCACCCGCAGCAGCAGGCCTTCAGAATCTGGATTAAGGGCCCTCCGCAGGCACTGCAGAGGCTTTGGGAGATCAGATCAGACGGGAAAAGAAGATATATAGAGACTCCATGGAAGCCCCATAAGCCAACCTTCTGAATAGAAAGACAGAAACTACCCCAAGTTTTAAAAAGTTATTCTTCCAAGAAGACTCAAACTCACTAGCTTTATAATGTTAAGCCTGTAGTGACAATTTCTAATGAGATTCCAATGAGTGTTTCTGTGTTCCCCTCCTCCATTTGACTGGATCAGGTCCATTGTATTGGTGTTCTCTTCCTCTTCTTCATAAAACGCGGCCCTCCTGGGGCTAGAGAGCTGGCTCAGAAGTTAAGAGTACTACTGGCCACTCTTACAGAGAACCCAGGTTCAGTTAACAGCACCCACATGGCAGCTAACAATTGTCTATAACTCCAGTTCCAGGGAATCAGATGCCCTCTTCTGTTCTCCATGGACATTACACGATATGGGTGCATTTACATACATGCAGGCAAAACACTCACACACATAAAATAAAAAGGCAGGCCTCTCACTTACTACTCCTTCAAATTTGTGTTCATGGGATCACCAAGGATAGGAGACCTGTCCAGGAGAAGGGTTACCTGGCCAGGATAAAAGACCTTCTCTGGGTCAGGGATATACTGGGCACTGAGTTCATGCTTGGGCACCAGTCCCTGCACATCACTGTAGAACTTTACAATGCAACCATATTCCTTGACCCTGAAGATAACACCATGTGTCTGCAGGCCAGGCTTGGCATCCTCATAGCAGGTAATGGCAGGTAGTTTGGACGTGACCAGGGTTTTCTTCAGAGTCATTACCAGCTTCTTGGCTTCAGGGTCACAAAGCAAAACCTAGGGAAAAGATAGCAGCAATCAACAAGTCACTTGTTACCAAGAGAGCCACTGAGCTGGTTTCTCCTACTCCATGAACCCAAAACCACAGATCATGTTCTAAGAACCTGCTATCTTTTTTCCTCTAACAATTTCAGCTGCAGATTGCTCCTGTTTCCTGTAAAATGACTATCAAAGACACAGAAGTCTCTATTTCAAATGTACTAACTCTCATAAGCTGTTTTGCTAACTACCCTCTCCCAGCATGCAGCATTATCTCTTATAGCACTACCCTGCCCAATGTTACAGAAACTTTTACACTGGCCCACCTCCTGTCTAGAGGGCTATCCTGGCTGTTTATTAGTTACAAACTAAAACTGAGTGTACTGGATAGCTTTAGTTGTCAATTTGACACAATTGGGTAGAGGGGGCCTCTACTGAGGAACTGCCTCCATTGGACTGGTCTGTGGCTGTGCCTATGGAGTATTTTCTTGACTTTTGAGTGATGTGGGAAAGTCCAACCCACTGCGGCAGTACCACCCCTGGGCAGATTGTTCTGTATTGTATAAAAAAGCAGGCTGAGCAGGGGCCAGAGAAGCAAGCCAGTAAACAGTGTTCCTCCATGGCCTGTGCTTCAGCTCCTGCCTCCAGGTTCCTCCTCTGAGTTCCTACCTTGGGCTCCCTCAGTGACGAACTGTGACTGGGGAGACATAAGCCGAATAAACCCTTTCCTCCCCAAGTTGGTATTGGTTACAGTGTTTTGTCTCTGCAATAGAGAAACAAATTAAAACACTGAGCCACTCAGTTATTTTGATGGCAGAGAAATTCCTGTTTTTAATCCTACAACCTCACTACATAAAAATTTGCAGAGGCTGAAGGGATGGTTCAGAGATAAGAATACTGGTAGCTCCTGCAGAGGACCCAGGTTTGTTCCTGGCACCCACATTAGGTGGCTCACAACTGCCTGTAACTCCTATTCCAGAGGACCCAATACCCTTTTGTGGCCTCTGTAGGCACCTGTACACACATGTGGTACACATACATACACTTAGGCATGCATACATATATAAAGTAAAACATTTTTTATTATGTAAGTGCACCCATGTTATGTAATGCCCACGGAGGTCAGAAGAGGGTGTTGGATTTCCTTGGAACTGGAGTTACAGGTTGTTAGTCACGATGTGGGTGCTGGGAATTGAACCTCGAGAGCACTTCTCTTAACTGCTGAGCCAGCTCTCCAGCCCCACATATATAAAGTAAAATAAATACATAAACCTTTTAAAAAGGGGAAAAAATTGCACCAGTGTGCATTTACTGCCCCTTTGCATCGATAACATTAAAATATAATAAACATAAGAAACCCAGGGCTAGCTAACGGTATGATTCAGGTGTGTTTAACACACAGGAGTAGTACTATCAGTACCAAAACAAGACAAAACCAGGAACTGAGTGCCTGCAAACACCAGTCCTACCAGGCACTTTGTATGGTATGCTTTTCAAAACTCAAGCTTCTTTTAGGATTTTAAATATTGTTGGAAACCACTTATGTTTTTCCAGCTTTTTCTGGGCTTTTTGTTTTTTTTCTTTTTTTGGTCTTTTTGAGACAGGGTCTCCCTGTAGCTCCAGCTATCCTGGAACTCACTATGTAGACCAGGCTGGCCTTGAACTCAGAGATCTGCCTGCCTCTGCCTCCCAAGTGCAGGGATTAAAGGCATGCGCCACCATGCCCAGCTTATTTTCTGGGCTATTTTAAAAAATTACATTTATTGAGAGAGAGAGAGAGAGAGAGAGAGAGAGAGAGAGAGAGAGAGAGAGTGAGTGAGTTAGTTGTGTGTGTGTATGCACGCATGTGTCATGGCGCATGTGTACAGGTCAGAGAATGGTTTTGTCCTTCCACCACATACGTTCCAGAGATCAAGCTCAGGTCATCAGGCTTGGGAGCAAGCACCTTTACCTGCTGAGCCATCTCCCAGGGTCTGGGCTATTTTTTTAAAAGCTCTTTACTAGTGTATATTAAGAATACATAATGGGTTTCATTAGGATATTTTCATACATGTATATAATGTCTATCTGGGCTATTTTGAGTCTGAGACATATCCCTGACCTTCCACATCCTTCCAAATCTTGCCCATCTTTGCTAGTTAAGTCCCAGCTCTGTGGGAAATCAGGAAGGTATTTGTCATACAGAGCTGAATTTGAAACCTGGTTCTACCATTTATTAGCTGTGGGACTTTGGACAGGATACTTTGGCTTACCTAAGCTTTAACTGACCTACCTGCAAAATGAGGACAATATAGTTACTCTACAGGGTGATTTTTTTTTTTTTTTGGTCATTTTGAGACAGGGTCTCCCTATAGCCCCAGTTAGCCTACAACTCACCATATAGACTGGGCTAGCCTTGAACTTAGAGATCCACCTGCCTCTGCCTCCCAAGTGCTAGGACTAAAGGCATGTACCACCACCCTCAGCTCTACAGGGTGATTTTAAGGTTCAACTGGCACAGAATACACTGTGGATGATAGTGGCTATTGATATTATTCATAGTTCTGATGCTCCACTCTACCATTCCCCTTTCTAAGATCTAGCCAGCATATAGTGTGCACCAAACCATATGGCAAAAGGTCACACACTGGCTTGCTCTTTCTTCCTGTATGAATATTGTAACTCACAACTATACTACATAGTCTCAAGGGCAGGGAATCATTTTTCTATTCCCAAATACTGGGCACAGTACTGGATACCTGCAGATGTTATGCTTAATTTATGAAAAAAGGCAGAAACTTCTGCTGAGAACTACTCTTTCCATCTAACCAAAACCCTAATGTGGACTCCTTCAGGAAGCTCACCCGGCACTTGACCTCGTCCCCAATGTGGTACTTCTTCTCTGGATTCTTCATCAGGATGTCAGCCAGGTGCATGGGAGGTATGAGGCCTCTCATCTGCTCACCCACCTTTACAAGCATTCCAAATGGTTTTATGGTCAGCACTGTGCCCTAGGGAATCCAAAGAAGACTCCATGATAGCACAAAAACAGTATTCCCTTCATCTCTTACTATAGAGCTAACACATTTCCCACCTTACTAAGTTGTTATTCCAGATCTCATGAGTAAGATCTCCTGGGTAAGCAACTCCTAAGCCCCTCCCAATCCAGATTAACCACGTTTATCTACAGATGCCTTCAAGCTTTTCTGTTGAGCAGTCTTGACAACAAGTATACTCCCTAAAGGAGAGGACTATATCTCTCAAAGAACAAGCTATCTAGAAAGAGGTATGTTTAATTAGAGTTAAGCCGACAACAAGTATACTCCCTAAAGGAGAGGACTATATCTCTCAAAGAACAAGCTATCTAGAAAGAGGTATGTTTAATTAGAGTTACATACTATAGGAGAGGCAAAGAACCAGTGTCTCACTAATTTGGATCTGCTTTAACAGTCATCACCAAACCGCAACACTTATGACCTATTGTCTCAATGTAGCAGGGTAGTGCTAATAAGACTTTACCTTGAAACTAATTTTAAGTTACCCAAGAGAAGAGAAAGAAATTCTAGTTAGCAGACACAGGCAAGGAACATGACTTCACAAGTATTAACATGAGGACTGGGCTGGAGAGATGCTCAGAGGCTAAAAGCACTGGCTGCTCAATGATGGGGAGATATAAGAGGTGTTGGAGGGGAGGGAGTGGGCATGGTAAATAAATAAATAAATAAATAAATAAATAAATAAATAAATAAAGCAATGGCTGCTCTTCCAGAGGACCTGGGTTTGATTCCCAGGACCCACATGGCGGCTAACAACCATCTGTTAATTCCAGTTCCAGGGGAATTGGATGCCCTCTTCTGATCTCTCAGGCACTGCACAACTCAGGTGCACGTACATACATGCAGGCAATACACTCATACACATAAAATAAAAATAATAAAATAGTTTAAAAAAAGAGAAAAGCTGGGCATTGTGGCGCACGCCTTTAATTCCAGCACTTGGGAGGCAGAGGCAGGTGGATCTCTGTGAGTTCAACGCCAGCCTGGTCTACACAGTGAGTTCCAAGACAGCTGGGGCTACAGGGAAACCCTGTCTCAAAAAGACGAAAAAAAAAAAAAAGAGGACTAATGAGCTGACAGTCACCTTGTAAACTAAAGAATGCCTGAAGGTGGAAGAAGATCTAAGTATGTGCTTGAGTGCTTACCTTCACCACTGCTCCTATTTTGATGTCATGATATCTAAGGAACTGAGCTTCAATAACTGATCTACAACAAAAGGAAAATATATGATTACACAGGTTGCCTAAATTCAGAACCTCCACAACCATGCTGATAAGAAAGGACACTTCATCCAGCAAGACCAGGAGAAAGTAAAATGCACACACATAGAAACACACCTCCTTGTGTGTTAAGGGCACTTACTTCCGCAGAGAGAGCAAGGCCAGCTCATCCATTTGGCTGTAGTCAATAATTCTACACTTATGAGTGCTCCCTGGCTTGAAAGCGTCAGCACTGCAGCTTTTCTTAGAATCTGAGAGATGGCTGAGCTGCAAAGTACCAAGCGAGTGAAGGTAAGTCAGAAACAGCAGCTCTGAGGCAGTCAGAACTCAAAGTACACTCAAATGACAACATGTTTATCACCTATTATAAAAATACTACTTTGTTAAAATAATTTTCACTGTTACTATCACAGAATCTCATAGAGATAGTTTAGATCATGGGACAATAAACTACACTCATAAGCCAGGGCCTACTTTTATTAATACAAGTTTTACTGGCGCATAGCACAGCATGTTCAATTACGTATTGTTTGTGGCTGCTTTCACACAACCAGGATGAAAAGTCAATACAAACCAAAGCCTACAACCCTCAGCATCTGTTGTTTTAGAAAAGTTTTGTTAAGCCATGGTCTAGATCCTAATTCATTTCTGATCTTGTCACTAGCCAAGTATTATATACAGCAGGCACTTCTAAAATAACAAATTGATGCTGTTCTGACCCTATGAATAGTTTTTCACACCTAGGAATATCTAAGAAGAACAAATTAGTATCAAGGGATGAAGGAAGCAGAAAAGGACCCATCAGTCCTAAAAGTCCTTCCAGTGATGAGGTCCCTGACCAAAGAAAGAAGCCTCCTTACCCTGGCATAGGCCAACACCCCATCCTTCAGCCTGAAGGTGGCCCCAGCCTTGTTGAAAAATCCCTGGACAGGAACGTTGTCCAGCACAGCCCCTAGGCGCTGGTAAGAGAACCGGGTGAGCGGGCGCCCAGGCTGCAGGAAGACAGGACGCAGGCTCAAGCGCACAACTCTGGTTCTAGGGTGGATGCAGAGAACACAGGCCCTCACCTAGACAAAATGTAGAGTCAAATGAGCGATGTCTGTGTAATCACACGATACAGTCGAAAGCAGACTTACGGATCTGTTTTTTCTTAAATTTTACAGGATTTCTAATTATGCACTATCTTTAAAAAAAATAAAAAGGAACCATTTGAGGATTAAGAAAATTCTGAATAGCAAATAGTGAGACTTTCTCCCCAAATATCCTGTTCATTGTGGAAAATTTGAGTATTTAAATAACAGTAGAAAAACTACCAAAGTTAATTACCACTAACATCTGATTACCTAATCGTTCAGTATTTTAACCAGATGCACTTTTAATTTACAGTTCTTAGAATCGTTTTTTAATTTTTATTTATTATTTTTATTTTATGTATATGCATGTATTGCCCGCATGTAGGTAACTGCTCCCATGTCATGCAATGCCCGCGGAGGTCAGGAAAGGCTTCAGATCCCCTGGGACTGGAGTTACGGACAGTTGTTAGCTGCCATGTGGGTGCTGGGATTCGAACCCAGGTCTTCTGCAAGAACAACAAAAGTTCTTAACCGCTGAGCCATCTCTCCAGCCCCCATTTCTTAGAATCTTATCTAAACTGTGCGTGGTGGCTCCTGACATAATTCCAGCACCCTGAAGTGGAGGCAGAAGGATCCAAGGTTCAAGGCTATCCTCAGCTACACAGCAAGTTAGAAACCAGCCTGGGCTACATGAGACTCTGTCCCAAAACTAAACCAACAAACACAAGGCTGACAACATGGCTCAGTGCGTAAAGGCTCCTGACACCAAGCCTAACAACCTGAGTTCAAGCCCTAAGACCCACATGATAGAGAACTAAGGCCTGCCAAGTTGTCTTCTGATTTCCAAACATACACCGTAACACAGGTGCCCCATTCCACACAAATAGAGAAAAATGTAATAATTTAAAAAAAAACAAAAAACCACAAAGCAGGCCTATGCTACTTACAGAATCATAGGGGGAAAAAATGGAGGAGCTGGAAAGATGGTTCGGTGGTTAAAAGCATGTACTGCTCTTACAAAGGACCCAAGTTCAGTTCTCAGCACCCATGTTGGTAGTTTATAACGGCCTGTAACTACAGCTCCAAGGGATCTAACATCTCTGGCCTCTGTAGGCACCAACACTAACATGTACATACCCACAAATAGGCAAACACACACTGACATAATTAAAAATTAAACAACTCTTTAAAAAGGGGAAAGCCAGGTGTGGTGGTGCACACCTTTAATCCCAGCACTCGGGAGGCAGAGGCAGGTGGATCTCTGAGTTCAAGGCCAGACTGGTATCTACCTAATGAGTTCCAGGTCAGCTGGGGCTACAGGGAGACCCTGCCTCAAAAAGACCAAATAAATAATAGATAGATATAGATAGACAGACAGAGGGAAGTGAGTTCTGGGGAATCAAACCTAGTGCTTCAAGAATGCTCAGCAGATGCTCTAGCATGATTTACACCCCTCATAGACTTTTTTATCCCTGAAGGGAAGGGGGCTAGTTCTGGCTAGCCTGAAAATGGTTAAGTAAATCAACTTGGTCTCAAACTTGAGGTGATGCTCCGGGTCTTTCTCTGGAAAAGTAGGGTTACAGGCCATCATACCTGCCTCGTAGACTTTTTTAAACAAATTTTTTCTATTTAAATGAATACTGTTCTCCTGTATTAAATAGTCTTCCTTTAAATATGAATGAAAAACCAAAAGCTGTCTTCTGTACCTGTGTTTCTAATCTCAGTTTGGCCACTGGTAGTTTTTTAGGCTCCTTCCAAAACACCTTTCATCAGGCCCTCATGTCTCTGCACACCTCTACACATGCAGTTCTATAACCGGCCCCAGGACTAAATAGGACACCACAGCTGAGACATAGTTGGAAATAAAAAAAGATAGCTGTAATATTTCTTACTGTTTGCTTTGAAGAATATGTCCCGATTTTCTTGGGATCCAGGTGCATAAAGTCAACCAGGCCCGTAAAGAATGTAAGGAAGTTTAGCGTGAGTCCAAATGGAGTCACCTAGAAATAAACAGACAAGTTATAACACTGGAGTGACTTGGACTATGAGAGGCACTGCTCACAGCAAACATCTGATTCCACAATTTCTACAACATCCATGTATCTCACCTCAAGTGGCTAACACTTATCAATACAAATAAATTAATTTTAAGAAGCAAAGCACATTTAAAAAAAATATTTTATTATTTTTATTTTATGTGTATGAGTGTATTGCCTGCATGTATGTGAGTGCACACATGTCATGCAATGCCGCGGAGGTCAGAAGAGGGCTTCAGATTCCCCCAGAACTGGAGTTAAGGGCGGTTCATAGTTGCCATGTGGGTGCTGGGAATCAAACCCGGGTCCTCTACAAGAGCAGTCAGCTCTTAACCACTGAGCCATCTCTCCAGCCCCACAAAGTACATTTTTAAAGAAAAGATATTATTTTGTTTTAGTTCTGTACATGTGTGTGTATGTGTACTTGAGTGCAGGTGCCCACCAAGGCCAGAGACATTGGATCCCACTGGAGCTAGATTTACAGGTGGTTTAATCAGGCATGGGGGCTAGGAACCAAACTCAGGTCCTCTGGAAGAACAGTACATGCTCTTAATCAATGAGCCCTCTCCAGCTCCACTAAGCACTCTGAATAGACATTTCTATCAAAGAATTGATACAAATGTCCAGTAAGTACTTCATTATGAGCACTGAAGGTGATCACTAATTGTTAGGAAAATGCCAATCAGAATCATCATAAGGTGCACTTCACATCTGCTAGGGGGCCACTTTTCAAAAAATTAAACAAGGATCTGGAATATAGTTCCACTATAGAATGCAAGCTTAGCACACAAAAGGCCATGCTCCAATCCCCAACACCCAAAAAACCCAATGATTCAAAATGGTGAGCTAACAGAGTTAAAGGTAAGGGTGCGGAGGAATGAAACAGTTCTTTATTATAAACCTTTTTACACACCACCTTTTCTTTCATCAACTTAAAAAAAATTATTATTGGTGGCACACACCTTTAATCCCAGCACTCAAGAGGCAGAAACAGGCATATCTCTGTGAGTTCAAGGCCATCCTGGTCTACATAGGGCCAGCTGGGGCTTCAGGGAGACTATCAAAAAAAATTTTATTACATTCTGTCTATGTGTATACATGCACACATGTCATAGCATGCAAGTGGAGGTTAGAGGACACTACAGGAGTTGGTTCTTTCCCTCCACTATGTGGGTCCCAGGGATCGAACTTAGGTCACCAGACTCAACAAAAGTTCCTTTATGTGCTAAGCCATTTTACCAGTCCAAGCAACTCTTTTTTTAAGACATGACTTTGCAATATACCCAGGCTAGCCTTAAACTCCTCCTGTCTCTCTCTGCCTCTGAAGAGTTGAGATTTTATAGTGATGCACCACCAAACCTGGCTCTGCTTGACCTTTTAGATCAATAGTGTCCATCAGAAATACCACACCTGCTAGGATGGTGGCACAAGCCTTTAATCATGGCACTGGGAGGCAGAAGCAGGTGGATCTCTGTGTTCCAGGCCAGCCTGGCCTACAGAGTGAGTTCCAGGCTAGCTGTGGCTTCAGGTATATCCTTTCTCAAAAAGACCAAATAAAAAGAAATACCACGCCTACAATTCCAGCCCTAGGGAGGCTGAGGCAGGAAAATCAAGAGTTTGAGGCCAGCTTAGACTATACAGCGAGACCTCGTCTCAAAAATACAAATTAATGTATATGTGTGTATATAATATCATACATATTATACATATGTATAAAATGTTTTATATATGCATATATATAATAAAATATACAAGTCACAGTTATAACTTTAACTGTTTTAACAGTCATTTTAAAAACTACATGTGGCCAGTGGGATGGCTCAGTGAGTAAAGATGATTGCAAACAGTCTAGAACATACACAATGAAGGAAAAAACTAATTCCAAGTTGTCTTTTTACTTTCACATACTATGGCATATGTGTGCCTATACACATACACACATGCACACCCCAAATATAAATTTTTTTAAAGTTTTAAAGATTTAGCCGGGCATGGTGGTGCACGCCTTTAATCCCAGCACTTGGAAGGCAAAGGCAGGTGGATCTCTGTGAGTTCGAGGCTAGCCTGGTCTACATAGTGAGTTCCAGGTCAGCTGGGGCTACAGGGAGACCCTATCTCAAAAAGACTGAAAAAAAAAAATGTTTAAAGATTTAAAATATTAAAAAACTATAAAAAAAATCAGATGACATTTGTTTTGATACAGTTTGTCCAAAATACTGTCATTTTGACAAATGGCTCTGGCTACATCTGAAGCACTTAATGGCCACGAAGATCTACCAGGCACGCTATCCAACAGCAGTTTTAGACTACATGCATGTTAATACTTATAAAGTTACATTTTAAGGAGCTGGAGAGAGAGCTCAGCAGTTAAGAGCACGTAGTGTTTTTCCAGGGGACCAGAGTTTGGATCCCTGTATCCACATCAGGCAGCTCACAACCACCTGTAACTACAGCTCCAAGGGGACTGTACACCTCTGGTCTCTGCAGGCACCTGTACTCACATGCCCAAACTCAAACACAGACACACACAAATAATTAAAAATAAATCTTAAAGGTGGGCGTGGTGGCGCCTGTAGTCCCAGCACTAGAGAGGCAGAGGCAGGCAGATCACTGTGAGTGCAAGGCCAGCCTGGTCTACATAGTGAGTTCCAGGATAGCTGGGGCTACAGGGAGACCCTGTTTCAAAAAAGACCAAACAAACAAAAATCTTAAAAAATATTATACTTTAGGGGCTGGAGGGATGGCTCAGTAATTAAGAACAGTGGCTGTTCTTGCAGAAGACCCAGGTTCAAGTCCCAGTACCCACATGGTGGCTAACAACCATTCATGACTCCAGTTCCAGGGGCAATCCAATCTAACACTCTCTTCTGACCTCTGTGGGCATTGCATGACAGGGGTGCACTTACATACATGCAGGCAATGCACTCATACACATGAAATACAAATAAATATTATGGGCTGGAGAGATGTCTCAGTGGTTAAGAGCACTGGCTGCTCTTGCAGAGGACCTGGGTTCGATTCCCAGCACCCACATGGCGGCTACGAATTGTCCTTAACTCCAGTTCCAGAGGAATCTGAAGCCCTCTTCTGACCTCCATCGCGTTGCACAATATGGGTGCACTCACATACATACATACAGGCAATATACTCATACACATAAAATAAAAATATTTTTTTAAAAAATAAAAAAAAAATAGATATACTTTAGGAAACACAAGTAACAATGAGCTGCTTACCTTCTGCACCTGGGCTTTGATTACCAGTCCCGGTAGTAAGTTATTCAGGTTCCAGCTTTGCTCCTCAGTTGCAAAGGCAGAAGAAATTTCTGACTGCCCTACAGATAGAACCACAACTCCTCCATTGCTTTTCACCTCTTCAATCAGACAGGTCAGGTACTGGCCGACTTTCAGTTTAGCACCTGTAAGACGAGCCCCAGCACCAAAAAGGAAAAATAGACCTCTATGAGGATCTTTAACCACAGGCCCAAGCAACACATGAGAAGATCCATGGGCCACTTGCCCAGTTAGCACCTGATATTCCCCAACTAGAAGGAATGGAAAGATGGCTCAGTGGTTAAGGGTACTGGCTGCTCTTCCAGAGGACCAGAGTTTTGTTCCCAGCACCCACATGTCCGCTAACAACAATCTGTAATTCCAGTTCTGGGAGAATCTGATGCCCTCTTCTGGCCTCTGCAGGCTTTGCACAACAGGGGTGCACTTACATACATGGAGGGAAAACATCCATAGGCATAAAAATAAACAAAAAAATTCTTTTAAAGGGTCTGAAGTTCACCTAACTGATCTAGAATTCAACTATACCACAAATATAAAAATCTGAACAAGCCAGGAATGTTGGTTCAGAGGTTCTGGGGGTCCAAATTCCATAGAATCTTTGACATAAAGCACACTGAAGGTAGTCTATCAGACCTTGGAGAGACCCTGTCACTCTCTGGCCCTCTATACATTTCTTTGATATCTGCTGGGATTAACCACTGAGTTTCCACTGAAACCACTGAAGTCAAGCAGTCTTCAGGGTCACCAGTCTGTCATGCTAGTGGTCAAAGTGGCATTTAAATATTAACCTCCCCCCCCCACACACACACACACTCCAAACACCTCTGGTCACCCTCACCTTTGTTCTTCTGTCGGATGTACTCTTGGGCCTTCTGCAGTGGCAGAAAAGCTCTGGTCCCACTAACACCAATGTCCACTAGGAAGCCATGATCTTCCAGGCTTGACACAGTGCCTGTCAGCAGCTGGGGGATGGGAAAGCATTCCCAGAAGTTTGAGGTCAAAAGTAAACAGGACATACACAAATATCCACTCAAACAAACATGAACATTTCCATAATTAGTTTTTTTGAGACAGGGTCTTACTATGTATCCTTGGCTGGCCTGGAACTCGCTATGTAGACCAGCCTGGCCTTGAACTCACAGAGATACTCCTTCCTCTGCTCCTGAGTGCTCAGATTAAAGGCATGTGCCACCATACCTGGCCCCCATCATTAATCTTGTCCCTCTATCCTATAACCACAGCTTCCTACTTGAGACAGAAGGGAAGACATCAACTTTCTCACAGGGTTTCTAGAATGTGAAGACTGTTGTACAAGCAAAATTATGAAATTATAAGAGAGAAGTCTCTTACCTGGATAATTTTTAAAAGACAGAAAAGTCTTTTTATGTTATGCAAAAGAAGGGATGTGTTTCATGTCTCAGCAAAGTCACATCCAGAGTGAGGAGTATCAAGAAAATCCAGAACTATCCTTTTAGCTTCCATTTATGTCTTTTCTAAATACATTTTAGAACAATACCTGGCCAACCTCCTGTAGACTTCACGGGATGCAATGTGGCCCTAACACTAGCTAGTCTTTGGGAAGTCACTGAGACCTCTGAGACCATTATCTAAAATGCAGAAAGGGGAAGATTACTGCCTCACAGATTTGCTGTGAGAACTGCAAGAGACAAAGTGCCTCAAACAGCACCTACCATGGAACAGGCTCCAACACCTGTCAATCTGCTGCAACTCGGCTTTTATTCTCTTCTTACCAAACTAAATCCTAACAAACTTTCCAGACCTTCCCAAGTCCCTCTGCTTCTAACCAAACATCTCCTGCCCCTAAATCACCAGAAATTTGTGAGTGCAGCTCCCTGTGTCAAAACTAGGAGATTTGAAGGATCAAGCCTGGGCTAAGTTTGCCTAACTCTCCACAGAGCTGGACATTTAAACAGGTGGCAGATTAACTGCTGCCTGCAGTGTTTCCTGTTTTCAGTGAATGCCCTCAACATTCTACATGCCAGGGATCTGAAAAAGGCTTACTCTGAAGCATCAGTGAGTAAGGCACCATGAGGAGCTCCCTTTCACCATCTCCAAATTGCCTGCTAAGGCTCCCTGGAGGCATTTGACTGTGCCACCAAAGCAACTTAGACTTCTTTTCCCTTTCTCTGTTCCAAACTAATATTAGGTTCAAGTTGTCAATGTTCACAGTACCCAATAGACCATCCCTCCAGGAAAAGACCCAACTCTATGAAAAGCCATTCAATTAAAAGTAAAAGGTGGGGTGGCCTAGACCACATCACAGAGAGGATAGGGCACTGCCTGCCCCTCCTCCCTGACCCCAGCCAGATACCTACCATGCCAGGCTTCAGCGCCTCAGCATCCAGCACTTTATTGACATGTTTGGGATTCACAGATAGCTTGACATTCTTTTTGCCACTCTCTGTGATGCCCAGGCTGCTCACCACGCATCTCACCAACATTCCAGGTGAGAAAAGTTCAGGTAAGCGGAGTAGGTCCTGAAAAACAGTAAAGAGAAAGACCTGAAATATACTCTTTCTTGAAACCACTGCCCAGCCTTGGCTTAATGATGTCTCATTCTCAAACCTCAAAGAACCCAAAAGGTAGACTGCTTACTCACAAAGGAAGAGGGGTCTATAGCTAAGATACAGTCTTGAGCTTCAGCATGAAGCCTTCAAATATTTCCATACAATAAGCAGATGTTGATGAATCACCAAGAGTTGTCTATAATTACTGTCTACTTCATCTCACCTTTGGCTTGCTACAAATTTCTTTCTTCCTTCCTCTCTCACTCTACCTCCTAAGAGTCACTCCAATAAGCTAGTAAGTCACCCTAATAAGCTATGCCTCTACATTCACTTTGTAATCCTTCACTTACATGGCATTTATTTATTGGTGTTGGGGATTGAGTCCAAGGCTCCACACGTTACAAACACATGTTCTAACACTGAACTAGGCCTCTAGTCCTCTTAAATGACCATTTAAAAGTACTTAACACTACTAACTACTTCTTTCTTCAACCTGGCTTCCAAAACTCTTCATCTGATGGTTTCTTTTCTGTCCTTTCTGCTTTTTCTGAAAGCAACTCTCTCTCAATTCAGCATTTACTCTAGACTGTCTTTTATAATCTTCTCATTCTACTTTACTCCCCATAAGCAATTCAAAGCTTGAATTACCACCTATAAAAGAAGTCCCACACATGTATATTTTCAACCAAGATTTCATTGGGCTCAGAATCAACTGCCTCCTGGATATCTCAAGTGTACTTCAAATTCAACATGGCAGAAAGCCAAATCATGACCATCTCTCCCATCAAATCACACACAATGGAAAGCTAAAACTTGTCTCTGGCACTTCTCTCTGCCCCACTACCCATATCAAGTCTATCATCAGGCAATGGCTTTACTTCCTCAGTCCTTGGTAATCCTAGCCCCAAGCTGCCAATAGTCTCAGTGCCTAAACTAATAGTAGCCTCCTAAACAATCTCTAGGCAACTGCTCGTGGCATTTAAATTTATCTGCTATGCTGTCTATCTGTCATCCATTCCAATGAGACCATTTCAAGGACTTCACTTTGAATCTAGAATCCAAAACAAATCCTTTAACATGGTCTACAAAGCCAAGTATGATCTAACTTCTACTCAGCAGCCTGGCTTCATCCCATACTGCCAGACTGCTTTCTACTCTAGCCACACTAGCCTTCTGCTTATTACTTCTGCCTGAATGCTACCTTCTGTGCCCAGGAAACCCTCATCCTTAGATGTCAATCTTAGCAGCCCTTCCTTATGTAGGTGTTTCAGGCTCCCTAGACTAAGTCAAAATCCCCAGTTTAAAAAATAAACCCCTTGAGCTAGTGAGGATGCTTGCCACACAATCTGTGGGACCCACATGATGGAGAGAACCCACTCCCATGAATTATCCTCTGACCCTGATATGTGCACTGTGGCATGCACACACATACAACACACACACACACACACACACACACACACACACACACACACAATAAATAAATGTTTGAAACACGTATCCCATCTCCCCACAAAAAAAGCACCCTTATAAACTCTCATGGCACTTGTATCTCCTTTCTTAGCATTTAGCAGGTGGTACTTCTACATGCTTGGGTACCTCAATTTCCAGTGACAAGTTTCACCAAGATTTTCCTTACCCTTACCTTCAGAGGGTCTTCTTGTGCCACCTGCTCATTCAGCTTTTGGGTGTAGGCATCACAGATTTCAGTCACTTGCACAAACCCTTGGAGGCCATTGGGGAGACTGATCACCAGTTCCAGATCATTTACCTCTTTCACACAACCCAAAATCCGCATTCCCTCACACAGAGACTGGAAGAGAAGGCATGAACTGTACACAATAAGACAGCCAACACTAAGGGAGGATCAGGGGGCTTAGCTTCAGGTCCCAACTATGGTATTTCCGACATTTTGTAAATGAAAGAAATATGTACATGTCTATACAGCCACATACTTATCAGATAATTGACTAAACATTGTAAAAGGTCTTGATAAAAAAACTGCTAACAGCACTGGGCTCCTGGAGGAATTTCTTTTACCATATCCTAGAAACCAACACTCTCAAGAACCTGGCAGACAGGACAGTAAAGGAAGCAATGGCATCTGAAGTGCACACATTACTTCTAAAGGACAAGATGCACTCCTTGAGACCACAGACATGAGGGAAAATAAGACTTCTGCTGTCAGCACTTTCAAATTTTCATGAGGGGCTAGAATCATATTTTTACATTAAATTTCTAGTTTCTTAAAATGCAACCAAGCCAGGTGTGGTGGTGCACACCTGTAGTCCCAGCACTTGGGAGGCAGAGGCAGGTGGATCTCCGTGTGTTCAAGGCCAGCTTGGTCTACGTAGTGAGTTCCAGGACAGCTCAGGCTACAGGGAGACCCTGTCTCAAAAAGACCCCCCAAAAAAAGCAACCAAGATAAACAGTTTTTTTTTTTTTTTTTGGTCTGTGTCCCCCCCCCTCCCCCCGAGCCGAGGACTAAACCCAGGGCCTTGCGCTGGCTAGGCAAGCACTCTACCACTGAGCTAAATCCCTAACCCCAAGATAAACAATTTTTAAAAATATCACATTGAACAAACAAAATATTCCTGAAGGCTGACAAATCTTTCCCCTCAGAATCATTTGATTCTTTTTCTATTTTAAAACATATACTGAGGGCCAGGCGTGGTGACGCACACCTTTAATACCAGCACTTGGGAGGCAGAGGCAAGCAGACCTTTGTGAGTTCGAGGCCAGCCTGGTCTACATAGTGAGTTCCAGGACAGCTGGGGCTACAAGGAGACCCTGTCTCAAAAAGACAAAAAAACAAAACAAAACAAAAAAAACCATACTGGAAGTACCTTCAATACCAGCATTCAGGAGGCAGAGGCAGGTACTTCTGTGAGATCAAGGCCAGCCTGATCTACTTAATGAGCTCTAGGCCAGTTGGGGATACAGAGAGACCCTGTTTCAAAAAAACCAAAACCAAAACCAAAAAACAAACTCCAAAACAGACAAAAGAAAAAAGACACCAGGCACTGGTTAGCAATCAAAGGAAATAATGCTTGTTTCTTACTGTAATTTGCAAAAATTTCTACAGACACATACAGAAAATTTTATATATACATATAATTTTATATAATTATGTGTGTATGTGCATGTGTGAAAAGAATGAAGGAAAAGAACACACACAAATGCAGAATATTATGTTAAAAAAGCAAAAGTTAGGGCTAGAGAGATGGCTCAGCGGGTAAGAGCACTGACTGCTCTTGCAGAGGACCAGCATCCACATGACAGCTACAAACCGTCCTTAACTCCAGTTCCAGGGGAATCCGACATCCTCTTCTGACCTCCGCAACACTGTACAACACTGGTGCACTCACAAACATGCAAGTAATACACTCATACACATAAAATAAAAGTAATAAGATATATTTTATATATATATATACATATATATATACATTAACAAACCTTAACACTAAGGATTTCAAACTTCTCTTTCACAGACTTGGTTTCTCTTTTTTCGATTTTCAATTTTTTTGTTTTTGCTGGCCCTTTCTGGCTATTTTTCCTTTTGTTGGATTTTTCTTCTGGGGAAACCTAAAGGGGAGAAAAAAATCCATAAGATCCAAAAGAATGAGAAACTGCAATCTTGGCCAGTCCCTCACATTTGAGGTCATCTTTACCTTGCTTTGTTACTGTTACTCTCTCACACACACCCTCCTCACTAGTCCTTTAATTTCTGCTGTAGCCCTAGCTCTCATATTCAGGCACTGATGATCCCTTTGCCCAAGGTCTGAGATGCCTCCTTCACGTCCCAAAGTCTCTGCTCTCCTGCATTCTTTCACTCTAGAACAGGGTGGACACTGAGGTTCCCCAGCTTAAGAAGCAATGTGTCACAGTGCATGAAAAGGGGAACTGCAGTCAAGAGACCTAAGTTAAACTCCCAAACTCCTCTATAATAAGATGTTTGGTGCCAACTAAATAGTTAACCTCCCTGAGCCTCAGTTCCTCATCATCGCATTTCTTTTTCTACTCTACAGTCTACTTTTTAGAAAGACTCTACAATACAGACCTAAGGCCATGCACTCAAATATTAGTTTCTTTCCCTCTGGCATCTGGAGCACAAACCATATACTGAATTTTAAAGCAAATTCTGACCATTGTATATGACAAGGACCTCTTTTATAAAAGGCAATGAAGGGTTGGAGAGATGGCTCAGAGGTTAAGAGCACTTGTTACTCTTCCAGAGGACCCAGGTTTGATTCCTAGCACCCATATGGCAGCTAACAAACATCTGTAACTCCAGTTCTAGGGGGATCTGGTGCCCTCTTCTGACCTCCACAGGCACTGCATGCACGTAATGCATCTACCTGTAGGCAAAACACTCCTATACATAAAACAAAAATAAATTAATTTCATGGTGGCGCACGCCTTTAATCCCAGCACTTGGGAGGCAGAGGCAGGCGGATCTCTGTGAGCTCAAGGCCAGCCTGGTCTACATAGTGAGTTCCAGGACAGCTGGGGCTAGAGGGAGACCCTGTCTTAAAAACACCAAAAAAAGAAAAGGCCTCTCTTGCTGGGCGTGTTGGCACATACCTTTAGTCCCAGCACTTGGGAGGCCAAGGCAGGTGAGTTCAAGGCCAGCCTGGTCTACATAGCAAGTAGCAAGCTGGGGCTACAGGGAGACCCCATCTCAAAAAGACCAAAAAAATAAAATAAAATAAAGCCTCTTTAACAAGTTCAATTTATAGATTTCAAAAAGAAATCTGGAAAAAGTCTCAGATGAGGCTCATTCTCTAAAGGTGCTAGAGAAAGTTTCTAGTATCACCAAAGAAGCACGTCACTTACATCAAATAAGTTGTCATGTTCAACTGGCTGCTGGGAAGATTTCTCTGATTTGTGGGTTTTCCTTGAACCCCCTCGGGGGAAGCTTTCTTCTAGGGCTGCCATGTTTGAGTCTCCTAAAGCCAATGCAAAGAATAATGGTGAGATGTAGCACTGATGGCAGGTTTCATAAAGGCTGTGATCAATGGGCCAGAGAATCTTACAGTAATCTGCTAGACCAGATTCAGGAGTATGACACAGAGAGCTGATACATCAGGTCCTTGTTAATCTATTTATCATCTTTCCAAAGTGGTATGTTTCTGCCAGGTATGGTGGTACATGCCTTTAATTCCAGGACTCAGGAGGCAGAGGCAGGCAATCTCTCTGAGAGGAGGCCAGCCTAGTCTACATAGTCAGTTCCACGTCAGCTGGGGCTACAGAAGACCCCATCTCCAAACAAAACAAAACAAATCAAAGTTGTACACCTCAAAACCACAAACTGACCAGGTGTGTATACCTTTAATCTCAGCACTCGGGAGTGGGAGGCAGAGGCAGGTGGATCTCTGTAAATTCAAGGCCAGCTTGAATCTACAATAGTGAGTTCCAGAACAGCTGGGGCTACAGGGAGACCCTGTCTCAAAAACACACACACACAAAAAAAACCCAAACCACAAACTGTCTTCCAGGAAGAGGATCAGAGGATCTGCCGTAGTAATCATTATGCAAGATTCAATATGTCAGAGATACACAGGTATTAACGCTGACTTTCAAATACTATTTAAAAGATAAAGCAATATTCAAGTAATTTAAAATACAAATCAGATTATAAGGCATAAAGAATTGACAGGTTTCAGAAAAGGTGGCAAACTTCACAAGGAAGATGCTTTTGAATTGAATGTTAAAGAATTAGTAGGATAGACAAAAAATGTGAACACAGAAACAGGGAAAGTCTATTATTTTAATAAGCATCAGTCATTTGCCTATCACAATTGTTCAAAAACTTATTTAAACCACGGGAAGAATAAAGCATAATACCAAGTTATATTTTAGAAGGAAATTTGGGCTTTTTGGTGGAAGATACTAAACTAGAAATAGTTTATGTTTACTTGGCATGTCAGAGAATTAGGGGAAGTGACAGACTAATAAAAAATATACTTCAGGCTATAGGTTGGACAGGAAAAGAAAGCATTCAAATGCAGTGCAGCAGAAAAGCCACGAGAACCAGAAGTGGGTATAAATGAGGTCGGAAGACAGGATGGTTGGTTCTGAGAGACATTTGGAAATAAAAGTCTAGAAGAGCTTGAGGCTGTGGAAGAGGTGACGACCAGACGGAATTCAGGATTTCGTCTGGATCAGGAAACTTCTAGAGGTTTGTTTGCTGGGAATCCAACTCTGAATTCCCATTTTAGACCGGATGAAACTGAGGCGCCACAAAGTAAGGCGATTAGGCGGAGAAGGTACTCGGGAGGACAGCCTGGGATCGTAGGAACCGCTAGCCAGCCCGGGACTTGAGTAAACAGACCACTCACCCCGGCTCGGGGACCCCGCCCGGGGCGGTCTGAGTCTTAGGGTCCCCTCCCTCCTCGCCTCGGCTCCCCACTCCTTGGCTGCAAGCCTCCGTACCTCACCGTCACAGGCGAAACCAGCAGGCGAAACCAGCACGTCTACAGCTCCATGCTGCGCTTCCGACCGGTGGGCGGGATCAACACCCTGCTTCCGCTAATACGTCGGGTCCTACAGGACTGAAAGTTGGTGACGAGGACCGGAAGCGGAAGGACGAGACTTGGAGCCCTAGCCAATCCACACAGAGGGCCGATTCGCCGCGGCCTGTGGGGCGTGCGGGGGCGGGGGTATCTTCCGGCTGGGGTTGGTGGCTGGGTTCGTTGAAGGACGTCGGCTGCGGAATCTGTGACTTGACCAAGGTGGGTGAGAAGGGCCATCCTGAGGCCTGCGGTCTGGGCTCTGCAGGGCCGGTTGGAATCTGGTCCGGGAACAGCGCGAGGCCTTCGCTTGCAAGGAGAGAACGGTGGGGAATGGGCCAGGCGGGGAGACACGGAGGATGGGGTCCCAGGCCGCAGCTGTAAGCCGCAGGGCCCTGTACGTTGAAGAGACCGGAGTAGCGCTGCGTTCCGGGGGAACCTTAGATTGCATTTTCCGGTGGGGGCGGATGACCCCCACCGCGAGGGGGAGTTCCCCAAGGTCATCCATTGACATAATGCTGGACGAGAACTCTGGCCTCTGACCCCATCTCTGGCAGAATTAACGTGCTTTGGTCTGTATGGCCATAGTGGTTTGTTTCCCCTGAGCTGGGATCAGGAAGCTGGCAGCCAGGCCTCCCTTCAAGCGCTACAGTCTTCATCCAAGTGGGAGGGAGCGTGGCATGGCCCCTGCACGCCTCAGGCGCCGTCGCGATCAGCGGGTTAGGAGTCAGTCTGGATACGATCAGCAGGGAGTTCTTTCCACAAGAAGCTGTCTGTTGCTTGTGGTCCCTGAGCGAATCGCTTTTACCTCTACCTGGTGATCTCATCACTCTAGGTAGGTGTCCAGTAAGATAGGAGTATAGCAATGGAGGAACACAGAATTAGCGAGGGCAACTGGTCACGTTAGGCCTTTAGTGAAATGCCGATTTCACTGGGAGAGAGGCATTGGGGAGAGAACGGTGGGGAATGGGACAGGCAGGGAGACAAGGAGGATGGGGTCCATTTCGCTGGAAGAGAAGCATTGGAGACAGAGATTTGACCGTATTTAATAGTGGTGTTAGTGGCTTAATTGAAAACAAAGGCAAAGCCTACCTGGTTAGACTTAAATAGGCTGCTATGTAACAATAATGTGAAATCCACAAAATCAGGAGCATGAATCTTAGGTGATTTTTTTCACCATTAATACGCCTTTCTAAACTTGTATGTGGAAAGCAAATTTTGGTTCAGTTATTCCATAAAGGACACTGTTAACACAAGGGTTCCTGATGTTTGCCCTAAAGCAAACTGCAGTTTGTTGGAGGGTGCAAACCTAGATTCTTTGGGCCTTAAAATTCCCATTGTTTATCTCACCAGCAACGTTGCTGTTCCTTCTTCCTCATCTCAGCTTCTGCTCTGTACTCCTCTGCCACCCACAGTTCCTATACCATGCCTTTATCTGCAGTCAGAATCAGTCTTTGGAATACACATAACACCCACCTTACTCCAGTATAGTAGAATGAAATTTAAAGTACCTTAATACTGACCAGTTGCACACCACAACCTCTGTGTTTTGTTAGACACAGGTAATAAAGATTATCAGTTCTTGCGTCGCTAAGGTTAGTGAATTGACAAAGACCTTGTTTTCTGTAAGGTTTCTCAGCAGAACATGATACCTTGGGGCCGGGGGATGTATCAGGAGCCAGGCATAGTGGTGCACACCTTTAATTTCAGCACTCTTGAAACAGGCAAGTGGATCTCTGAGTACAAGGGTAGCCTGGTCTGCATAGCAAGTTCCAGGCTAGCCAAAGTGACATAGTTAGACCAAGTCTTTAAAAAAAAAAAAATCATGAGGAACTGGAGACATGGTTCAGTCATTAAAAGCACTGGCTGCTCTACCAGAGGACCCTGGTTCGGTTCCCAGCACCCACATGGCAGCTAACCATCTGGAATTCCAGTTCCAGGGGATCCAATACCCTCTTCTGACCTCAGGCATTGCACAACACAGCTGCACTTTTATACACATAGGTAACACACTCGTATACATAAAATGAAAACGGATTTTTAAAAATCATGAATGAAAGCCAGGTGTGGTGGCGCACACCTTTAGTCCCAGCACTCAGGAGGGGGAGGCAGAGGCAGGCGGATCTGAGTTCAAAGCCAGCCTGGTCTACATAGTGAGTTGCAGGCCAGCTGGGGCTACAGGGAGACCCTGTCTCAAAAAGACCGTAAAAAGAAAAGGGGAAAAAAAATTAACATAGGGTGCAAACTCAGGCATACAGAACTGTGGAAATGGGCTGCAGGCCCTAATCTTAGTCAAAGAATTACTGGCAGCTGAATACTGCTGGGTGAGGAAGAGGTATTAAAGGGTGGGACTCTAATTAGACTACCTAGACCCCAATGGATGAACTTGCATGGAGGGATGTCTGGGTACACTAACTTGACACAATATACCTTAACACAAATGGCAGAACGTATGAATTCCAGTGGGGTGGAGGACTACGGGAGGATGCCAGTGGGGAAGGGGGTATAAAGATGATTAAAATTGATTGAAATGTTCTGTAGGAAATACACAAAAATTCAATAAAAAGTTTACCAAAAAAAAAAAAAAAAAAAAGACATAGGAAGGATGTTGGGCATGGTAGTGTGTATCTTTAATCCCAGCCCTCAGGAGGCAGAGGCAGGTGGATCTATGTGAGTTTGAGGCCAGCCTGACCTTTATAGTGGGACTAGGGAGACCCTGGCAACAACAACAAAAAATTAACATAGGAAGTAATGAGTTTCATAGTATTTCCATGCATATATGTCATTTTACCTTGTTTTTCATCCCTCTCCTTCACTGTCCCCTCTATTCATCCTTCCCCTACTCTTTCTGGCCTCATACTTCCCTCACATATTCCCCCCTTCTTCCACATGTATTCTATTGTTTTTCCTTCCTACCCCCACTTCTTTAAGATCTCTTTCTCCTTTTAAAGGTCCCCCTTCTGGAACTGAAGAGATGGCTCATTGCTTAAGAGCACTGACTGCTCTACATAGTGAGTTCCAGGCCAACTGGGACTACAAGGAGACCCTGTCTCAAAAAGATTTTTTTAAAAAAAGAAGAGGAACACTGACTGCTCTTGGAGAAGATCTGGGTTCAAATCCCAGCACCCCCATGGTGGCTAGCAACCATCCCTAACTCCAGTTCTAGGGGATCTGAAGCCCTCTTCTGACCTCCCTGAGCAGTGCATGACACAAGTACGCTTACATACATGCAAGCAATACATGCGTACCCTAAAGGTAAAATCTTTAAAAATGTTCTACTTTCATGACTTACACAAGATGACACAAGTACGCTTACATACATGCAAGCAATACATGCGTACCCTAAAGGGTACGTGTGTGCATGCACACACATACATATAGGTGTATAAATTTTTTTGTCTTTTTTTTTTCCCCCTTCGGAGCTGAGGACTGAACCCCAGGGCCTTGTGCTTGCTAAGCAAGCGCTCTACCCAACCCCATAAGTTTAAGTCTAGAGTCTGCATAGGAGACAAGTCATGGTATATTTATGCTTCTGAGTCTGGCTCATGCATAATGATCTCTAGTAACATTCATTTTCTTCCCAGTATCTGGACTTCATTTTTCATGAATATGCAAGTATCCCTGTGGTATGTTGACAGAGTCTTTCAGGTATATCCCTTGAGCAGTAAAGCTGGGTCAGAGGGTAGTTCTGGGGTTTTTCTTTTTGTTTTGTTTTGTTTTGGTTTTTGGCCTTTGTGAGACAGGCTCTCCCTGTAACCTCAACTGGTCTGGAACTCACTATGTAGACCAGGCTGGCCTCAAACTCAAGAGATCCTTCCACCTGCCTCTGCCTCCCAAGTGCTTGGATTAAAGGCATGCACCACCACAACTGGCACACTTTACTTTTCTTTAAACCTGTATGTTCTCCAGGGGTTTGTTTTTCTTCCCCATATAATTGCTAAGCATTTCATTTTCTGTTTCTCTTGTGTACGTTAAAATTGCCTAAAAGCAGGTAGCTGGAGAGATGACTCAGCAGTTAAGAACACTGGCTGCTCTCACAGAGGCCTGGGTTCAGTTCCCAGGGCACAAGTAGAGGCTAACAATGATCCGTAACTCTATTTCCAGGAGTTCTGATGCCCTCTTTTGGCCTCTGCAGGCACTGCATGACATGGGTGCGCTTAATATACATGCAAGCAAAACAATACACGTAAAAAAAAATTTTAAGCTGGGCATGGTGGCTTAACTCCTTTAATCCCAGCACTTAGGAGGCAGGTGAATCCCTGTGAGGTTGAAGCCAGCTTGGTCTACTTAGTGAATTCCAGACCAGCTGGTGTTACAGGGAGACCCTATCTCAAAAATTTTTCTATAGAGGCCTTATTAAGACAGATGATTGACCCAAGGTTTCTAATTCTATAGATCTGTGGTAGGGCCTGAGAATTTGCATTTTAAGAAGTTTCCAATAAGGCTGATATTGCTGGTCTAGGGACCAGACTGAAAAACATTGATGTGGTCTGCAATATACAGAAACAGGATTGCTTTTAGTATTTAACATCCCCTAGGGACCCCTTTGAAGTACACAAAGATCTGTGCAGTTTCCTCCAGTAGAAACCATGTTTTAGTCCTATATTGGATTTCTAGTTTTTCCACTTTCACAAACAATATTTCGGTGACCATCTATGAACCTCCAAATGTATGTACACTTCATGAAACAGAATGTTAAATCCCTGTTGGTCTGATTCTACAACTTTTTAAAATATTTTATTTATTTTATAGGTATGAGTATATTGCCTACATGTAGGTAGGTGCACCCATGTTGTGTAATGCCCAAGGAGATGAGAAGACAGGGTCAGATCCCCTGGAACTGGAGTTACAGGCAGTTGTTAGCCACCATGTGGGTGCTGGGAATTGAAAACGGGTCCTCTACAAGAACAACCAGTGCTCTTAACCACTGAGCCATCTCTCCAGCCCCAATTCTACATTTCTTTATGAGGTTGATTGTCCTTTAGTCTTACTGCTTTCTTGCCAGCATTCTTTGTATTTCCCTTTCCCAAGATGAGTAAATATTTGCCTGTGTTTTCCTCCAGGACGTTTTGGTTCCACAGTTTACATTCAAATCTTTTATCTGTTTGGGGGTAAGGAATAGATGCCAGCTTCACAAAGACCATCACTGACTAATACAAATTATGTTTAGTAAATCTTTTCTCCCATGCAAGTCCCAAGTGATTTATAATAAGAAAAAAAAAAAAAAAAGAGTATGTGTTACTCTGTTCAATTCATGTTTACCCCTCTGAGAAAGTTTGAAAAATATTATAAGCTCCAACTTTCAGGTAATGTTAAAAGTGATTTAATTCAGTGTATAATATGCCATAATATGGATAGAGCCAGGAATGAAAACATTACTATACTGAGTCAGAAGGTGGACTCAGTGACAACTGTCCTCTTCCTATGCTGAGTAATTCGACCTATTCTGTGTTTATGTAAGAATAGTAGATAAAGGTTCTCAAGTTTCTGACTAGCAAGGCTTTGTCCATCATCTTTGCTATTGCAAAGTCAGATGAAACACAGAAAATTTATAGTAGTTTATATGCATTGACATAAGTTTTAAAGCTAAAAGAACTTTCTTTTGCCGGGCGTAGTGGCGCACACCTTTAATCCCAGCACTTGGGAGGAAGAGGCAGGGGATCTCTGAGTTCAAGGCAGCCTGGTCTACATAGTGAGTTCCAGGACAGCCGGAGCTACAGTGAGACAGAAAAAAAAAACACCAACTTTCTTTTAATTGCATCCAACCCAATTTATTGTTTTGTTTTGTTGGCAGATCAAAGTCATGGCAGGTCCAGAACCTGAAGGCCAATTCCAGTTCACTGGTATTAAAAAATATTTCAACTCTTACACTCTCACTGGTAGAATGAACGTAAGTATTATATCTTTTTTTTTTTTTTTTTTTTCCCTAGTATTCCAAATTTATTTACAATTAAACTTTCCGGGCTTCCTCACCCCACAGTCTCTCAGCTGTGCTCGGTACTCTACACAGTCAGAGAAACTTCTCTAGTAAGAAACTATAGAAATGATCCCTGAAAGTATAGTTTTATGTAATATATCTTTTAACAGTCATATTTTATGATAAGTATGACACTAACTTCGTTTACATTTTTCTTTTTTTTTGTCAGTGTGTACTGGCCACATATGGCAGCATTGCTTTGTTATACTTCTACTTCAAGTTAAGGCCTAAAAAAACTCCAGCTGTGAAAGCAACATAAATGGTAAGAAATTGGCATTTTAAAGTTAGTAACTTAACCATTTTTAGCCGTGTGCGGTGATGCACACCTTTAATCCCTGCACAAAGGCAGGCAGATCTCTGAGTTCAAGGCCAGCCTGGTTTATATAGAGAGTTCCAGGACAGCTGGGGCTACAGGGAGACCCTGTCTCAAAAAGAGAAAGAGCAAAAAAAAAAAAAAGGTTGTAACATAGCCATTTTGATATTAGGGCATTTTTCCCTGAAGTATAAAAGCTAACAATTGTCATCCTGTAGAATTTTTTGCACATACAAAAGAAAACATTAGGTATAATGTGCAAATCCCAGCACTGGGGAGACAGAGGCAGGAAGACTGCAACTTCAAAGATAGCTTGGGCTATCTAACAAGACTCTGAACAACTTGGGGATGAGGGGAGAAGAATAGGGCTGTCAGGTGTGATGCCTATAATCCCAGTAACATTAGAGAGGCTGAGGCAGGAGGAGCACTGTGCATTTGAGGCCATCCCAAGGCACCTAACAAAACTCTGCCTCAAAGAGTACCAGAAAAGGTACTACAACAAAGTAGTTTTGTCTTTTGGTATGTGTGGGGGTATTCCTCCCTATAGCACCATCCCGACTTTGAGGCCACCCTGAAGTACATAACAAAACTCTACCTCAAAAAAAAAAGAACCAGAAAAGGTACTACAACAAAGTGGTTTTGTCCTTTCTGTGCGGGGGCGGGGGGGGGGCTCCTCACTATAGCACCAGCTGCCCTGGAACTCGTGTAGGCAGGGTTGGCCTTGATCTCACAAAGATACTGCCTGTTTCTGCCACCTGAGTGCTGGGATTAAAAGCATGTACCACTATACCACGTGAAACAAAATAGTTTTGAGTTTAAAGTGTTGTCTATGTATGTTTTTTTAGGCTTAAGCACTTTCCCAAAAGATTGTGAGGTACCTAGCTTTGTAAAAGGATGTCTCTTAACCAGGCATGGTGACACACATCTTTAATCCCAGCACTTGGGGGGCAGAGGCAGGTGGATCTCTGAGTTCAAGGCCAGCTGGGGCTACAGAGAGACCCTGTCTCAAAAAAACCAAAAAAAAAAAAAGAGGTGTCTGTTTTCCTCAGTCAATGTGGAATCTTTCTGATTTTTACCAAAATGATAAGGAAAAAAGTTGTATCTTTTTTGTTGAAGTTCTTTTACTTGCCATTTATATTTTTCTTAACATTTTTCTATCTTTAACAATTAAATGACTTAGGAGCTAGAGAGATGGCTCAGTGTTAAGAACACTTGACTGTATTTGCAGAGGACCCAGTTTCAGTTCTAAGTGCCCACATGGAAAAATAACCATCCTAACTCCAGTTCCAGGGGATCCAACACCATCTTCTGACCTCCAAGGGCATTGCACAGCACGGGTGCGCCTACCTACATGCAGGCAATACACTCATACATAGAAAATAAAAATAAAGTTTTTTTAAAAATGACTTAATGGGAGGGTGGTTTTTGTGTTTGTTATATGTGTATATTCATGATACAGCACAAATATGGAGGCAAGCTTACAGTTCAGTCTACTATCTGCCTCCATCTCCACATAGGATTGTTGAAATTATACATATGCCACTGCATCCAGCTTTTAAAAAAGTTTTATTTCTATGTGTATAAGCATTTTGCATGCATGTATGTAAATGTACCACATGTGTGCAGTGCCTGCAGAATAGGGTGTCGGATCCCCTGAAACAGAAGTAAAATAAATGGTTGTCAGCCTCCATGTGGGTGCTGGGAACCAAACCCAGGTCATTTCTCCAGCTCCCTGTAGCCACAGCTGGCCTGGATTCACTATGGAGATCCACCTGCCTCTGCCTCTCATGTGCTGGGATTAAAGGCGTGCGCCACCACACCTAGCTGTATCCAGCTTTTTTACACAGAGTTCATGGGCTGTGGCTCAGGTCTTCAGGATGTCTTGCATAGTGCTTTGACTTGTTGAGCCTTCTACTTGACCCAACCATAAGCTTGCTATGTAATTTTAGTTTGGGGATTTTTTTTTTTTTTTTTGAGGGGTCGGGTAGGGACAGGATCTTGCTATGTAGCCCAAACTTGTCTTAAAGTTGTAGCATTCCCCTGCCAAGTATATAGGTAGGTATGTGCCACCATGCAAAAAAGAATTATTAACCAAACTTGGGTGGTGCTGGGAATCAAATCCAGGGCCTTGGTGGAAACTTGGCAAGTGCTCTGTCACTGAGATATAGCCCTAGCACTAACCAACCTTTATTATATGAAGTTCTAGATATTCCCTGGGTTTTGGTAGCTTGGATTTTTCACAACACATTGGGTGCTTCCTCTTTTTTCTTTCCCCCTTTTTTCTTAGCCCCTCTCCAGCCTTTTACCTCTCCTGAAGTCAGTAATTGTGGTGTTAGCAAATATGCAGAAAGCTAAAAAGCCAGAGCACCATCTAATGTAGGGCTTTTTTCACTGATAACTTTTTGATCTGAGGGGACTGGATAGTCCAGTCTATGGCTTATTCTTGATAAAACAGGCAGTACTTTGCCCAATTTTCTGTATGTAATAACTCTTAACTTTGGGAGGGTGGCAATGTCTCCCCAGAAATGGAAAGTTGTGTCTTGAAGATTAGTGGCAGATGTGTGTCTACTTGATCTACTCTGCTATTTTTTAAATGTTATTTTATGGGCTGGAGAGTTGGCTCAGCAGTTAAGAACACTGGTTGTTCTTGCAGAAGACCCAGGTTCGAATCCCAGCACCCACATGGCAGCTAACAACTGTCTGTAACTCCAGTTCTGGGGGATCTGACGGTCTCTTCTGTCCTCCATGGCACTGCATGACACAGGTGCACTTACCTACATGCAGGCAATACACACATACACATAAAATTTAAAAAAAGAAGAAGTTAGCTAGGCATGGTGGCACACGCCTTTAATTCCAGCACTTGGGAAGCAGAGGCAGGCGGATCTTTGTGACAGCCTGGTCTACATAGTGAGTTCCAGGACAGCTGGGGCTATAAGGAGACCTTGCCTAAAAAAAAAAAAAAGTTATTTTATATGCTGGATTTCTCCAGATGTTTGCCTTTAGGATCATACTGAATTGTTGGGAGGTTTTATTGAATTATTAAAGCTGGATTGTTAAATTAAAATATTATCAAATTGAGCCAGGCTTAATCCTAGCACAGAAGGCGGAGTAAGGCAGATCTCTGTGAGATTGAGGCCAGCCTGGTCTACATAGTGAGTTCCAGACCAGCTGGGGATACAGGGAGGCCCTGTTTCAAGGCCAAAAATAAAAAATATCAAGCTGAAGGCCATCTTGAGGTTTTTTCCCTGACTTGAGAATCTGCTAAATTTGCATTTAATTTGGGAGGTTTATATAATTACTAAGTGTCTTAAAAGTAGAGAGGAACACATTTGTATCAAACTGTTTTTGCTTTGTTCATAGGATTCTGAAATGTCCAACCTCATCTGTTAAGACCCATGCTTGGAGAAGCTAATGTCAACTCATCATGTAATACTCAATTTGTACAATAAATTATGAACCTGGAAAAGCTGGTTGTCTTTATTTACAAGATATCAAAAATATAAAACTGTACAAAATGCAACAAAAGGCAAAAACTGGCAGTGACTTGGTCTAAATCTTTTAGTTTTCCAAAGCAAGGCTCAGTACTGGAGGTAAGCAACTGAAATGTCTGTCTGACTTCAAGTGTACTAGGTTGTATGTAGCCATGCTAGCTGAAGTAGAACAGGATCTAAACGTCTTCACCTGGTTTAGAGTGTTTGATTGCACTCAAAACTCAAAAGGTATAAGCTGAGATGTCAGTGGATGATTGGTACTTTTTAGATCTTAGGAAGGAATTGTAGTTCCCCTACCCAGTTACATACATTCCACTAATCATGGGTTAAGAAAACACATTAGTGGATCATTTAACATGGTACTTGAGTGCCATATAGTAATTTCATTTTTACAGCAGAAAAGTACATGCTCATAGAATTCTTCAGCTAAAATTCAAGATGGTATTACATTTCTTAAATTTGAATCTTGAAGCAGGATGAATTGTTTAAATCAAATTGATTTTTTTCTAAACATAATAAATTAAAATAGCATTTGAACAAAAAATGCATAGTTTCCACACAACCCAAAGCACCATTAATGTCCCTTCCATGAACGTAATACCTCTTATTCAACTAACGGAAATTAGTTAAATGTGGCTGCTATAGAAACATGGAACTGTCCTGTTCAGATTCTCCAAGCAGCATACTTCCAGATCCATATAGACAAAAACATTCTTTGTAGCTTAAATACTAATCACTGAGGTATTTGCTTTTAAAAGTCTCCCTTTTCCAAACAGTAGCTTCCAAAGGTCTTTAATACCGTTGGTTTATTGCGGACTGTAAGCTCCTGCAGCTAGAACCAAGTTTCTTCGAGTAAAATGTAAGTGTACAACTGGTGTTGATTTGGTCATATATGTACCCAATAATAACTCTTGTGAATTCTCAGGTAGATTTATATGCCCAGTGGCTGTAGTGAAGTCATCAGTCTCTAAATCTTCAAATGCTTTGATGGCATCCCACAACCGGACTGTATTATCCATTGAACCTAAAAAGAAGTCAACAGAAACCATTAGCTATGCATCTGTCATAAAGTCTGACAAACTGCCATGTATATTTTGTGTTTGTGGTATATATAGAGTTTTGCTTTGTTTTGTTTTTGTATTTTTGGTCTTTTTGAGACAGGATGTCTCTCTAGCCCCAGGTGCCCTGGAACTCACTGTAGACCAAGCTAGCCTCGAATTCACAGAGATCCACCTGCCTCTGCCTCCCAAGTATTGGGACTACAGGCGTGTGCCACCACCACACCTGGCTCTGTTGTATATTTTTCTAAATCTTTACCCCAAAGCCATTAAAATAATTTACCTGATGCCAAAATTTCACCATCTCTACTAAACCTAAGTGAACAGACTGTATCAGTGTGGCCTTTTAATTCTCCAACCATCAAGCCATGTCCAATATCCCAAAGGAGTACTCTGCCATCTGTTGCTCCTGTAGCCAGGAATCTCCCATTGGGAGAAAATGTCAAGGAATGAATTGGTCCCTAGAAAAGACAGGTATGGAAAAGATCAAACAAAGTAGGGTTAAGTATATCTATAAATAAGACCAAGTCAGAATTTTAGCTTAGTGGCATGAATGTTATCTTTGCAATGATATATTACTGATGAAATATTTTGGTCTTGAAAGTATCTTTGCATGCTGGAATAATGGTGTAAAATACCTTGTGTCCAGTGAAGATCCTTACACAATTACCATTCAGAACATCCCAGAGCCGCACAGTTCTGTCTGCAGAACCCGTAGCAACATAATTCGAATTTGGATGGAATCTAGTACAATTCACATCAGCAAGATGGCCAGCAAATATCCTTAAAGGCTGATGGTGATCTGTAGCCCAAAACCTTTTTTTAAAAAAAAAGGTTAATGGAAAGAAATAATAATTAACGGAAATACTAAAATTTAACCCCAAATAGAGTTATATCCAAGTTAAAGTTAATTCCAAATGGGTCCCCCTGACTAACAGAAGACACTAGAATTTTGTTGTTTTGAGACCATGGCCTTAAACTCCTCAACCTCTTCCCAAAGTGCTGGAATTACAGGCATGTCCTGTCACACCAAGCAAGGAAAAGAGCTGATCTGGTACAAATGTTTTCAGTTCTTTCATTCCATACCCACCTTCCTTCTCATTCTAGTCTAAACCATAGGAAAACATTTTCCTCTAGTTTTGGCAACCACATAGTTTCTAATCTGGAGTGGTCAATGGTAACTTTAAGATGGCAGGGATATATAAAAGTGCTCACAGTGGTAGTGGAAAATAATAAACATCTGACTTGGGGGAACATGCTACAAACGAAAAGCAGGACCTTTGGTATAGACACAGTTGGAGCTAAAGTAATACTCTCCTCCCAAATTTATTCTCAAATTAGAGCTGTAAATGCTGATCCCAAAAGTTAATCATGGGTGCTAGAGAGATGGCTCAGCAGTTAAGAGCACTGGTTGCTCTGGCAGAGGACCCAGGTTCAATTCCCAGCACCCACCTGGCGGCTAACAACCATTCGTAACTCTAGTTACAGTAATATGATGCCCTCTTCTAACCTCCGTGGGCATTGCATGACATAGGTGCACTTGCATATGCGCAGGCAATACATTCATGTACATAATATAAAATTTTTTAAGTTAATCGTGAATTACAAGTGAAAATTAAGTTGGCTGGAATTTGTAATTCCCAACAAGGAACAATTACCTTCAGTGAATAAACCCTGCATAAGATCAGTATTCTTACCGAGCTACTCTGTCATGGCCTCCTGACACAAAATAATATCCATATGGGGAAAACTGCGTGTCCCATACTGGGTAGTTGTGTCCTTTGTATCCCACCAAGCAAGTAAACGTTTGAAGGCTCCACAATCTAACGGTTCCATCCTCTGAAGAGGAAAGCAGATAGTTCCTGAGAAGAAAAGGTAATATATTTGATTCCCAGGATAAGTTACCTGCCCAGTTTTTCATATTTTAGCAAATTGTGTCTCGCCTGCTCACTCTCCCTCTGGGTATGGGTATGGGTGTGTGTGTATATAGAGCTGGTGATTGAACCTAGGGCCTTGCACATGCTAGCAAGGCATTCTACCACTGAGCTATATCCCTAGTCCCCTCACTTTTTATAATGCATGTGTACAGTGGGCATGGGTATATACATGTTTGTGTATGTGGGCACATATGTGTGCAGGTCCATGTAGTATACCTACATGTGAAGGTCAAAGGTTGATTTCAGGGTCTTCCTTGATCTTTACCTTCTATATTAAGGCAGGGTCTCTTGATGAACCATAGCTATACATAGAATTCACAATAGATATCAAGGGTTAAAAGTATTAAACTAGGCCGGGCATGGTGGCACATGCCTTTAATCCCAGTACTTGGGAGGCAGAGGCAGGCAGATCTTTGTGAGTTCGAGGACAGCCTGGTCTACATAGTGAGTTCCAGGACAGCTGGGGCTACAGGGAGACCCTGTCTCAAAAAGACAAAAAAAAACAGTATTAAACTAATGTTAAAGTGTCACATACCCTGAACACCTACTGTGTGAAGTTAGATTATACATTAGGAGAAAATCACAGTTCTTTAGAAGGGGGAAAAAGTAGTATGATGTTTCGTGTATAATCTCAGAATTTGGGAGGTTGAGGCAGAAAGCTTGCTTCAAGTTTAAGGCCAGTCTGGGTTATAGAATGAGATGCTGTTTCCAAAAACTAGTATTGACTGGATAGGGCAGCCCATGCCTTTAATCCTAACACTTGGGAGGCAATGGCAGATGAGTTTGAGGCCAGCCTGTAGATGTCTACATAGATAGTTCCAGGCCAGCCAGAGGTATATTGTGAGACCCTATCTCAAGAAACAAAACAAAAAATTGGTATTAAGGGTAATAAAAAGTACGATTAAAAAGGATGGAAGAGGCCAGTCATGGTGCACATGCCTTTTATCCCAGCACTTGGGAGGCAGAGGCAAGTGTATCTCTGTGAATTCAAGGTCAGCCTGATCTACACAGTTCCAGGCCAGCTGGGGCTACAGGGAGACCCTGTCTCAAAAAGACGAAAAAAAAAAAAAAAAAAAAGGTGGGGGGTGGGAGAGATGGTTCAGAGGTTAAGAGCTCTTGGCTGCTCTTATGGAGGACCTGGGTTCGGTTTCCAGAACCCGTATCAGGCACCTCACAACCACCTGTAACTCCAGCAGCAGGGGATCTGACACCCTCTAGGCACCTGAATAAATACAGACATAAATATAAATAAATTTAAAAACAAAAGTATGTTAAACAAGGTCAACTGAGATAGCCTAAGAACTGGGTATATCAATTTTTGGTGCTTAAATGGAGATGTTATTTTTCTATCTGCATGAGCTGTATTTAAAAATAAAGAGGACTGGAATGTAGCTCAGTAGTAGAGTGCACATGCTTAGCATGTGCTGGAGGCCCTATGTCAAGACTCCACTCACCTACCAAAAAATGAAAGGTCTTTTGGAGGAAAAACAACTATGGACAGGCTAATGCTCCACCTTTTTCAGGGATAAACACAAAAGCCAACATTTTTCACTGAAATCAGAGGTTCTCAAATAAAAACTTAACATCTGGCTAAATCCTATAAACAACAACAAAAAATTCTCAAGACTTTACAAATACAATGCAAATTTTAATGGTTGCAAATTATCCAAGTAGGATACAGATAATAATGTGGGTACCAAATACCCTCCCATATTTCTTCAGAATGTTAAGAAATCATGAAAAACCAGCAAATACCTAAATGTATATGGTGACACTATTTCAAAACAGTATTGTCATGTTGCCCAGGCTGGCCTTTTACGTATGATCCTCATGCCTTAACCTTCAGAATGGCTGGGATCATAGGAACATTTCACCACACTCCACTTTCTTAGTTCTTTTCATTACAGAAAGATGTTTCAATTGATAAGATATTAATGTTGTTAATATCAGGAATTCATCTTAAATTTTATAAAGTGTCAC